AAATAGTGGGGGGTGGTTTGTGGTAACAGAGCCATGAGAACTGATTTGACACACGTGTAATGGCCAAATGTCATGCTGATGAAATGACTATAAATGCATTTCATTGCTTTCTTGTTCGGGCAGAAAAACTCAGATAAACTTTGCGCTCAAATGAATTGTACGGCAAGCCAATTTGAAGCATTAAAACGCATTTAAATGTCATTTATTCCAAGATCAAAAGGCACTTAACAAAGAAACAATGTCAACTTTTACTCTGGAAATAATTTGTTCCACTGCGCATTACAAAAGTAGCTACAAATAAACTTTGATACTCATTCGTGTAAAATTCAAAGCTATTTCTTTTACAACGCTCATTTTTATTTGTGCACTTTTTTTCTAGAGCTTTCGCTATGTTTTAAAAGGGTTCAAAAATATATATTCGTAAATAGTAGTTTAATGATATAATTAAAAATATTATTTATAAACTATTTAAAATCTGCCATCAATTTAAAATATATATCTTTTCAAATCGATTATAGTTATGTATCTTATTTGTCTTCTCCTGTGTTTTTCATCCAGAGCTTTTAAAACCATAACAAATCAATTAATCAACATAATCTTGATGGGTAACCTCCATTTAGCTCATCAGGTTAAAGGCCTTCACACCTGGCCTGATAATCTTTGGCACTTGCCACCCACTTGGCGAATGATCGGGGATAAGAAGGATAAAAAGGATAACGAGAATAACGAGCATACCGAAAGTGGTAGGCGTGTGTGTGTGACACCTGACTAAATGTTTAATTTGTAGATTAGTTGCCTCTTCGGCCTCTTGGGTCCTGACATCTTTGCCTATATACCCATATACTCTATACCCATGCATACATATGTATAATAAATATATATGTATATTTGTATCTACTTTTGTGTGTGCTCAGTCAACTGTCATTGTGACCTAGAAAGAGCTAACTTTGCAGTTGTATCTCCAAACTTTTCACTTAGATGTTGCCTACAAATAGTCATTGATCCCTGAGAAGTTGGCAGTGCTGAATATGAAATAACATCTATATAACAATTATAATTATATAAATAAAACGATGTCAAAGGGGGGAAAAAAGAATTTTCAATTACAATTTAAGTCAATGCAATAGCAAAGCTGAAAGTTTATGGCCTATCAGCACATGCAAAAATAAAAATATTTACATGTTTAAAGATAGATAATAATAACTATAGGGATTTAAGAGGTTTGAAATAATAATTTCTTAAAGAAAGTATTTGTATGATTTAAAAATAATATAATATATAAATTTATAGCAGACAGAACTTATAATTTAAAAAGTGTTGAAGATTAAATAAATGAAAGATACAAAAGCAGAAATCCTTAACTTTTGTGAGTTTAAAGTTTCATAAACATTAAACTATCATCTCTTGTTGCATCACTCGGCTTTAAATACAAGAAAAGAACAAGCGAAACTTTGAATATTTATCATAGTCATTGTCAAATATAAGACATTTACATATATAGTACCCTTTTCGAAGTTCAAACCCAGTTGCCCAGTGATAACCACCCCCTGTCGCTTTGTGCCCTGAATTTTAGCTACCTGTGGAGGTGCCAGTTTTACTGTGTAAACCATTGCATAAACGTCAAAAGTTAGTTTGGGAAAAGGAAAAGGGAAATGCAGAGGAAAAGCGTGCCAAAAATTGTGCCTTGTTCTTGCACTTGTTGTGGTGTCAAACACACACCGGTCGTGGTGAAAAGCTGTCTGTTCCTCTCTCCCTCACTCTCTTGTTTCGCCCCCACTCACCATTTCGTTTTCCCTGGGGCCAAAGTAATGCATTTTCCGAACTGATCCCGCTAATGAAGACGGAAAAGCTGTCTGACCGATTCTGAATCATTGTCAAGGTTGATCTATTATTAACCTTCGATAGTGGGAAATCAAAAGAACCGCAGACATTACTTTCGCGGATATACATAGATACATTTGTAGCTGTCTTTGGCACGAGGCGGATTAAATGAACCGGCGATGAGCTAAATTTAACAGCCATCAAATTTCTATTTATGTGCTCCTATATTTCTGCGTAATTCAAAGTGATCTCTAGAAAACCCATATAGTGGGCAAAATAAGTTTATGTACACTTTGCATTGAAATTTTATATAAAATGTTCGTAAGCTTGTTTTGCCCACTGTAAATAAAATTTGTATGAAAACATCAAAATGTATCTGCATTTCTGATATATACTAGAAAGTAATTTTTGTCATATTTCTAAAAAAATATAATTTTTAAAAATTACAGATTTTAGCATCAAAATGTGTACAGTTTAAGTTTTGATGATTTTAAATTAATTTTTGTAGACACTGTTTTGGATATACTTGTTTTGATTAACGACAAGATTAGATCGTGTTAACAAGTAGGCAGGTGGTTTCATTTATCAGCCAAATGCTTCTTCTCAATTCTCCCAATCTTATTCTCTTTTCTCAGAGTGTGGTGAAAAGCTTTTATTCTCTCCTCCCCATCTCATTCTCTATTAGCTATTTTTTTTATTTTTGCCTTGTTTCGGCTTCTTAATTGTTGTGACAAAACTTTTGGCAAAGTTTCGATCAAGTTCTTTTGTATTTTTTGGCAAACAGATTAACAGTTTCAGGCGATATGAATAAGTTTTAAAATTATAAGCCTCAGCAGCGACAAGAAAATAAATATTAATCTGACTGGACTTTGCCTTAAAAGTATGCTATTTAGAAAACGAAATCCCATGTGATTTGTAGTTCAGTCTTAACGGTATATTCTACCTAAAAATAAAAAATCGCCAACAAATACAATTTAAATCATCAGAACTGGAAAAAATCAACTTGAAAACAAGAACAAATGCGGTTTTATTAAACAAAAAAAAAAAAACTTTGATTAAAATGAGAAACTTTCTACCAAAACAAATCAGTGATTGAAAATTTCGAAAAAATTTAAGGACAACCTAAATTAACTAAAAAACAGCAGCAACTAAGAACTAACGAAGTAAAAGCTAATTTTTGACCAAGATAAACACATAATGTTGAAAAACATTACAAATTTTAGAAAGAAATAAGTGCACTCGAGCTATAATTTCAAAATAAATTGCTTAAATAAAAAATGAGCCTACAAGAAACCAAATAACTAGAAGCAAATAACTATAACTTTGAAACTTGTGAAACACGCAACCAAATAACTTTATAAAACTAGACAATTTTAATATTGAAAGAAAATTCTGATAGCTGAAAAAATAGTTGAATCAATAGAAAACATTGAAATAAAAAACAAATAGACAACAGACATTTAAATAAATATTAAAAACCAATAACAATTTCAATAGAAATCGATTGATTGCCTAAAATAAATATGAGATTCAATTCCTAAAACCATAGTAGCTAAATAAATACAAAGTATGTGCAAACCTAGAATAAACAAATAAACAATGGCGTCCAATAGTGTCTAAAAAAAAAAAAACAACGGCTGCTAGGAAAAACAACAATAAGAGCGAATATTATCTTTGATAAAATTGAAAAACTAGTTTAATACAAAAAAAACAGCAATGTCCATGGCATTATGCAATTTAAACGGCGACGGCAGCACGGCGCAGTCGACGTCGCAGTCGCCGGCGACAGCGGCAGCGCCGTCGCTCGCTCACTCGCACTCACACTCGCATACGCTGCAGCAGGAGAGTACGCCTCTGCTTTTGGGCCACGAGCAGAGCGGCGGCAGCGCTGCGACCGAGGGCATCGGGATTGGGGGCGGTGGTGACGTCACCGACGGAACAGTAACCTCCATTGAAATGCCCACTGTTTCCGCTGGCAGCGATCCTGTACCGTCACTGCCTCTGCCTCTGCCTCTGTCGCAGCCTCTGTCGACGCAGCAGCCGCAGGCGCAGCCGCTGCTAATGGCGCTGCCCGCCAATCTAAACTTCGTAACGGGACCCACGACACAACAACTGATGATCGGTAATGGCGCCGTCGGCGTCGCTCCCTCGACCAATGACAACAATAATAACAACAACAACAACAACAATGTGGACAATACTAGCGACGAATCGAACCCGGTCACCATTTACAGGTATAAAAGTCGGTAGGATGGCCAGCCCCTCGCCGTTCGGGTTACCAAGTGTCTATATTTACAATTTATATTATTTATGTACTTTTGGTTTTCTTCTGCTACAAGGGTTTCCTTATAAATAAGTAGTGCACTAGTCACAAAAACCATGTGTATATGTTATAAAAAAAAAGTTATTTTTTTTAATCTTTGAACATTTGAAATCTTAAGATATCGTAGTCTCTATTAGAATTCCGAATTTTATCTCAAATTTAATTCTCGCTTTCACAAAAACCTGTTCAATTTCAATTAAACCTCAAGGCATGAAAGGGTTTGAAAAAATATGTTTCTTAAATTTATACATTAAAAACTCTATTCTGTGGCACCGACGGTGTTTGAGATATATATTTAAAATATTAAGTAGTTTTATTGACAAAATTAAGTATATTTTCAGTTTAACTCGGTCTTTATACATAGTTGTTTGAAAACTCAATACTACATACATTTAAAAACATATATAAAAATTGATTTTTTTTTAACTAACCATATAATTAGAATTGATAATACTAACTAAAAATAAAGTTTAATCTTTTAATAACCTACGTGGTCTTCAAATATTTATATTTACTACAAGTTTATAGAACAACGTGGCGAATACGTAATATTTTAGCAAAATCTTTGCTGCTATTCAAAAAAATTCTCTACTTCCTATGGTATACAAAATAATAAAGACCATAATTGCACAGCGTGCATATACGTAATATTAATAAGACGTATTGTTAAATTCGTAATTTACAATTGCTATTTAGGTATAAAGGATATTTGCGAGAATATATTCTGCAATCAAGAAAATACAAATAAACTTTCTATGTATCAGATTTTCAGATTTACATTCATATATTAAGTCACAATATTCTTAACAATTTTGAGGTTATTCATAATTTATTGCTCTCCGGTTTTTCATTGCAGGTGCCGGGCTCCCATTGCGTCACTCGACTGTATGGAGGAGTTCAGTGGTACGGGCGGTCATCTTGATTTCGGTATCAAATTTCTCACTATCATATAGGCTTATCATTTATGTTGTTTACTGTCGATTGCTCGACTTTTTCGATTGTTTTTGATTGCCTGCCTGCCTCTGCATGCTACCACATACAAGCAAGTATCGCTTACTTCAAAATAGCCCAAGTAAATAAATTATATACAAAATACAAAATAAATGAAAAATTAAACCCAAACCCTAACACTCCGCTAATCAATGTAGTTCAGCTGTCGGTAATTGTTGGTTTTGTTTAGCGAATTACGGCGAGGGCGTATGGCTCAAATAAGGGCCAAAAACATGCAATTCGAGTTGTAATTTATTTTATTCATTTTGTGAGGAACAACAACTCCATCCAACCCACTCAGGCAGGTGGTTCTGCCACAATCACGCAACCAAGAAAAAACCAAATATAAAAAAAAAGAAAAACACGCACCGGACGCACGCACTTTTGTTGAACGAAAAGGAAAAACTGGGGAAAGGAAGAACCAACGGAAAAATGTCACTTTTGTTTATTCATGTTCATTGCATGCCGCTCGCTTTGTATTTTTTTACATACTCTCCTCAGAGGCTGTCTCAATTAGCTAATTGAAAATAACAAATTTGTGGTTTTTTTTTTTTTTTGCATACCTTAAACATTTATTTTTGAGGGCAAAATATGTGTGCGCTTGGGTCCCTTTTTGTTGGTAATTTCAGACTTTTGATCTTATTATGTGACTTGGCGGGAACAAAGTGAAATTGTATTTTAAATGTTTAAGCTTTTTATTATTTAATTTTACCTTAGCATTCAGTTTAAAGTTTGAAAAAACAAACTCCTTTTAAAATATAAAGATAAATAGCCTACCTTTAAGTCAACTGCTTTGATGGTGTTAAAAAGTATTTCATATATAAAAAGCTTTCAATCATTTTACTATTTTTTTAAGTATAATACATATTAATAAATATATTTTTGTTAAGTAATCTGTAAAATTTATTTGCAAACACCTACATGTGTCAAAAATAATGCTTAAAATATTTCTAAGACATTAGTAGAAGCCAAGAAAAATCTTTGTTAGGCAGGCAGAGTTTTTTTACTATATGCTAAAACCAAATAAATAGTTAAATAGTTACTTGGAAAATAAAAAAGGAAATACTTTATAAATATATATTTTTTTTAAATTTATTTTTGTTCTATAAGTAGAGTATTGGCACTTCGTCACCTTAATTGAGATTGCCTTTTACGTGTATTGTGGCATTGCGTTTGTGTTTTGTAACCATTCTTGTTGCTGTTGCGTTGCTGTTGGTTTTTGCACGTTTCCCGGCACTTTGAAAGCCCTTTCTCCATTCCAAAATAAAAGGCTTCTCACTAAACGGAACGCACATTTCCCCCAACGAAATGTTTCATTTCCATGCTCGAACCCAAACTCGACCATTCGAATCCTGGGATTTCGACCGCGATGACCGTGTATCTGGGCATTCCGCTGCGAGCAGGCCGTTCGATCAGCTTGGGTTCCAATCCGGCGCTGCCCCTCCGCCATGGATCCACTCCGACGCCGGGGCTGCGGTACAAGAATCTCGGCAAGAGCGGACTGCGCATCTCGAACGTGGGCCTGGGCACCTGGCCGGTCTTCTCGCCGGGCGTCAGTGATGACCAGGCGGAGGCCATCCTCAAGCTGGCCATCGAGAGCGGCATTAACCTGTTCGATATCTCGGAGGCGCACTCGGAAACGGAGATCGGCAAGATACTGCAGCGGGCGGGATGGAAGCGGACCGCCTACGTCATCACCACCAAGGTCTACTGGAGCACCAAGTTAGTAGCGGTTCTTAGTCTTTATTATTTGAGTACTTGGCATTTAAAAGGGGATTAACAAAGATTTTTTATAAGAAATTTCACAATAAAAAAATAAAACAAATTTCAAATACCAATTATTTTAATTAATTTTCTTAAAACATAAAATTGATAATGTGAACATTTTTATTTGGTTGAAATATAATAGTTTTTTTTTTTGCACTTATAAAGGGTTAATTGCAAAAGGAACACAACGCAATTGATTTTTTGAAATGCGGTTTTAATGAGTGTCTAATATTGTTATAATTCTTTTAGGTCCGAGGAACGGGGTCTTTCCCGGAAACACATTATCGAGTGTGTTCGAGCAAGTCTGCAGAGGTTGCAGTTGCAGTACATCGATATCGTGATCATCCACAAGGCAGATCCAATGTGCCCCATGGAGGGTAAGTCATTCAAACGAAATAGTCCGTTTATGAAATATGAAAATAAACTAACAATTTAATCAACTTATATTCGCTGTGCTATAACATTAACCAATACCTGACCTATTACTTAATTTTATTAATAAAAAGTCATTTCTCAATATGAATTTAAAAAGAAATAAAAATGATTTTATAAGCAATATTAATAACGTAATTTATGAGGCATTTATATTAGACACAGCTCTTGTTTATCATTATTAAATTGTAATCTTTAAATGGGGTTTTGGAGGTACTTTCATTTCTATTTGAAGTACTTTACACAATTTGTAAACTGTTGTTCATTTCCTTGCCAGAAGTGGTGCGCGCCATGAGCTACGTTATACAACAGGGCTGGGCAATGTACTGGGGCACCGCCCGATGGAGCCAGGTGGAGATCATGGAGGCGTATACCAACTGCCGGCAGTTCAACTGCATCACGCCAATTGTGGAGCAATCGGAATACCACATGTTCTGCCGCGAAAAGTGCGAGCTCTATCTGCCGGAGATGTACAACAAGATCGGGGTGGGACTGATGGCCTGGGGTCCCCTCTCGATGGCCTTGAGCGATACCCAGAACGGCGACAAGCTCTTCCTGCCCAAGGGATCCTTCAAGACGAAGAGCTTCTCGTGGACAGAGGACGAAATCAATCGCAATGTGAGTTGCACACTTTTTGGTATTTAATTCTTTAATTTTATGCGGGATATATAGTATAGGATATAAAGTATAAAGCAAGATTTATTGTTTATTTTTTTTTAATAAAATGTTACTTTTGTATTTTTATAAATTTATGAAAGATGTTTTACTTTTTTTTGATTATAAGTTTGTTTTATCATTAAACAATAAGTAAATTCCATTTTTTTATTTTTGACCTAGAAATTTAACAAGAAATTATAATATTGAATATTAAGATTTGAACTTATATTTAAACTTTAACCTTTTATTGCCAAGAATGCGGTTTTTAAATTAAATATAACGGGTTTTTCTTTGCCCGTATTCCAAAACAAAAATCTCCAATTAAATAAAAAGTGTAAACTCTTAAATTAAATGAACTAAATTATTGTGTATCTTATGCATTTTTTGTTACCATTCATTATGTAACAAAAGGATATATTTTTCTATAGATCAATTCTTTATAATTTTATTAAAAGGTGATGGTAAATTTTCAAATATTTTCAGGCCGCTCTGTCGCCGCAGGGCAGTTGGGGCAAGGACCGGATCGAAGAGGGGCGCCGCCACTGCGACCGCCTCCGTGACCTTGCCGCCCTCGCCGAAAAGCTGGGATGCAGCCCCACCCAACTTTCGATCGCCTGGTCGCTGAAACACGAGCCAGTGCAGTGTTTATTATTGGGTGCCACCTCGGCGGAACAGCTCCACCAGAGTCTGCAGTCGTTGCAGGTAAACAAATTGCAATAAATTATAATTAACAAAAAAAAAAAAAAAAAGGTGCATTAAACTATATTAAAGGTAAGGTCACACATTTATACCTTGGCAAAGTTAAATTAATAAAACCATAACAAATTGGGCCTCTCAGTGAAAATCTAAGCCATCGTAAAAACAATTATACACAAAAACAACAGGAAGTCACAACATTGTTTAAATTGCAAAAAGTGCCAAGTCCACCAAAGAGGCACGATTTTTCGCACCAAAAAAAAAAAAAACAGATTATTAAGCAATAGGAGAAAAACATACAATTATTTGTTAAGCTCCATAATTGGGTAAAAAGCGATAAACTTAACCATAAACCTGCAATTCCAGCTGCTGCCACGCCTCTCCTCGAGCGTCATGCTGGAGCTGGAGCGGATATTGGAGAACAAGCCGGTGCGGCCGCCGATGATCTCGACCCTGGCGCTCCGGTGACAATCAGCGTGCCCGCAGGGGCCGCTCAGCCTGAGCGGCGGCGGACCCTGCGGCGCCGATTCGCCCAAGCACGAGGATGAGGCCTTCATCGAGGAGGTGGACGCTGCCAAGGACGCTGCCAAGCAGGGCTTCTGCCTTATCCAGTGACAAAAGGAGTCCTTAGATAATGATAATAAATTTTTGAAAGTGATTAGCAGTAAAACTAGCCTAAGTAGCAATACCATGACGACAACAATAAGCAAGCAGGAGCAGCAGCAGCAACAGCAGCAACAACAGCAACATCAGCAGCAGCATCAGCAGCAGCATCAGCAGCAGCATCAGCAGCAGCATCAGCAGCAGCATCAGCAATATGTGCAACTACAACAGCAACAACAGCAACAGCAGCAGCAACAGCAACATTTGCTGGCCAGCGGCAACACCAGCGATTCGGTAGCTGTTCCCATCGCAGCAGCTGACCTCCAGTTCGACACCCTGAATAACAACAATGTAAACAATGGCAGCCCGGATCAGGTTGTGCCCTCCAGCGAGGAGCCTCAGAAACGTCGCTCCCTGCTGAACTTCAAGTCGCTGGACTTTCATCTCAAGTCCCTTTACAGCGGATTAAGGAGCACATCGGGCACCACTCCGCCAAGTCAGCCGAATAGTTCGGTGCCGGCGATGGATCAAACGCATCGAAGGATGCCTTATTTGCGGGTGGAGAGCGTGGATCCCGAGGAGTCAAGAGGCGGAGGAGGAGGAGGACCATCGGTATTGCCAGGACATTCCACTAGCCTTCTGTCACCCTACACTGGAAGAGGTGGTGGTGGTGGTAGTGGCGTCGTCGTCGGAGGAGGAGCTGCAAGCCTCCAGTTGCCCTCGTCGGATGGGTCCACCATTAGGAGATCCTCCACATCGGATATAGTGAATTGCAAGAGGGGAGGGGGAGCAGGAGGATCGGGAGGATCAGGAGTGATGGGGTCAGCCTCCGCCCAGGATAGCCGGAGGCCCAGCACCTCGGATTTGCTCAGGAAGGCGAGGGAACGCAAAGGCAGTGAGGCCAGAATGGGCAGGAGTGTCTCCCACAGTGGACTAACCAGAGGTGGGCCCGGCGGAGGAGGTGGTGGCCTGGGGGGCAGACGAACCAGCATGGCCTTCTAAACAAAAAAAAAAATACAAAAAAACATAAAAACTGAGGAAAATTTAAGCAATGAGGGGTGACGAAAAGCGGCGAAAAAAAAACTGTTGATCAAATCTGAATCAGAAATAGGCTGACAAAATGGCGCTTATGAATTTTTATCTAGTAAAAAAAAAAAAAAAAAAAAAAAAAAAAAAATACCAATACCAATAATAGAGCAGTTATTAAGGAACGACTTTTTGTGGATCTATTATCATTACGATTATAAAAAGGTTACTACAATTGCGCCTCGAAGAGAACTAAAGTTAGTAGATGATAATAATAAGTAAAAGATCAGAAACATAACACTTCATCTCTCCTAAACTCTGTATCTCTCTCTTTCTCTCTCCCCCAGCAATTTAATATATATATATATATATATATATATATATATATATATATATTTAAAGGACCCCAACTTTTATGACAATATTAGAACCTAACTATCGTGTACTATCGTTAATCTATCGCCTGGCAAAAGCTCTAAAAACTAACCTGCGTTCTGGCCCCAAAAACCAAAAACCAAAAAAATTAAAAATTGATTCAAGATCGATCCATTATATCATCGTACTGTGAGAGTTCATATCAAGCGAAAAGGATACCCAAAGATATATGGGGATAGCAATGCAAATGTCTTTTTGATTAATCGATTAGTAGACTTAACGAGTGCAAAACGATTGAGGCGCTGAAGGGGAGCGATGAGCGATTAATAATAAAGATAAACGATAACGCAAGGTAGGGGGAAATTCGTCGGTTAATTAAATTTTAGCTAAATGAAAAAAACAAAAACAAAAAAAAAACTCAAATGAAAAACTAATAGAAACAATTCAAATCAAATCTTATTATATAGACATTACTAGCATTATGTAGTTAAATAATAACAATTCAAGCGAAATTTTTTTAAAATCAACAAACGAAAAAAAAAAACAAAGCAAATGCCTTTCATAACAGCAACAACAACAACAGATAGTTTATATTTTAAATAAATGCAGATATATATAGATATATACACACATATGTGAAAAAAAAACGATAACGAAAATGATGAAATAAAAGAAAGCAGCAACAAATTGTTATTAATTAATTGTAGTCCATTATCCCGATGGCCCATATACCATATCTCATATAAGTGAAAACACCAATATAGCAGCATGTAGGATTTACATAGAGGGGAGTTCCCGGACCCCCTCCCGAATACCATGTATTTTATCATCATTATCGAGTACATATATAAAGTCTTTCTCACATACGGACTGTGATTTCATATAAAAGTAAACGTAAACAAAGTAAACAATTAATTATTATATCTAACATAATGTAATTAAAGGCTAAGTTCATTGGAGAGATCTCGCAGATAACTACACCCACTCACACTCACACACAAACACCCACACACGCACACCGCCCCCAAAAACACCTTTGTAACTTGAAAAACGTGTTGGAAAACAGCCCCATAAGTAGTAATTTTCCAATCGAATGGCATTATATACTCTACTCTACAATTAATTAACCAAATGCGATTGCCTTAATAACGAATAATAATAACACAGGATTAGATCAGATCAGATCAGATCGGATCGGATCGGATAAAACCCAGTCGGGGGCCGGTTTCCTCAAACTTCAGTTCCAGATCGGAATACATTATATACACTAGCATTCATTCGCATATATTATATATTCCCCGCACTGTTGCTTGAGAAATTGTCCCGCGCAGACAAATAATATATATATTGGTTTAGCTCCATCAGATCACTCACAAAAAACATATATATATATATATATAGGAAGTACTTATATATATATGAGAGTAATTGCATTTTTTAGTAAGTAGTTAATCCGTCCTCAACAAACGGCCAACCAAATGACGCGAAAAACTATGACGATTGGGGCGCTGCTTAACCAATAACCGTTATCCTAATTTTAAAAACATATAATTAAAAAAAAAAAACTTTAATTTCAAATCATTGTAAAGCATAAAGTTTGTTATTTAAAGGTTGTGATGTTAATGTTCTATAACCTTATTTAAAAAAAAAAATGCTGAAAAAATCAAATACATATCTACGAATGAGCGAATTACAAGTATATTGATTTGAAATATTGTTATTAGCTTAGCTAAATTATTGGTAAACAAATGTAAAATCTATGTTAACAATACCAATCAGTGAAATCGTTTCAAGATTCTTGCTTTAAAAACATTTAACCTTTTGCCTGTCAATTACTTTTTAAAAACAAACGCAAATTTTTTAGATTTATAAAAATTTGGATATTTTAAGTAAAGAAATAAAAGCTCTATTAGTTTATTATTAATTACTTAACACTTCCCAATCGGCTTTTTCGGCTTTTTTGATATTCTTAAATAATTTAAAACACAATATTCTTAATTCAAATACAACACTACTTGGCTTAACGGGTAATTGATAAATAAGCAGCGCCTTTCGTTACATCCAATCATCAATTGTGGCCACGCCCCTTGAAAAAACAGCCACGATGTGTGAACCGGAAAGCAATAATTCAAAATAATGCTGAAACAAGTTCAACTAACAAATTGATGTACATAAAAGTAAACAACAAAAAAAAAAAAATATTAAAAAGCACATACACACAGTTGCATTATGAGATTATTTTTAGTCTGTTGTTATCGCAATTATTATGACGATTATTATGATTACGATTATTATTAACTCGTAGCTAGTAAAATCGAATGAGGATCAGCAATTTATATGCCTAAGCCTAAAAGTAATCAGAAACTACACTTACACCCATACTCATGCCGTTAAAGTTATACAAATACAACAAGCCACACACACAAACAATACACTGACAAAAAAAAAACAAAAAAAAAAACAGTAATGAAAGCAAATGCAGCAAGCAAAAGCAAAAAGTAACGGAAAGTATTAAGAAGCAAAGAAGCGTAGCGATTAAATCTAGTCAACAAATTTTACTTTACACCAAATCAGAAATATTTATAACAATTGCAATAACTAAACGAGGTGCGATATAATGAAAGCGTATATATAATAATATATCTTAAAATTATTTTCTTATCGAAACTGGCAATAATAAATATTAATATTAACTTAAACAACTAAATAATTATATTATACACGCGCGATAACTTCGTAAGTTTACTTCGTCAAGAGGAAACTATTTTGGAGGATCATCAAATAAAAAAACACTTTAAAACACACTGATTACACTTAGAGAAAAACTCGCTCAGACACACACACACACACACACACTTGATTTGAAATTGAGTCCACGCCAAGCGTTCACACAACACACACACAAAACACACACACACACACACACACACATGTAAAAGGAGACCAGTGTTCACACACTTGCGTTCACCATTTGCTACTGCACCAGAATACACACAACTACACACGAAATCAGCTTTACTTTAGATTTTCGATAATTAATTGCAGGGCTGTCGCCTAGGGTTGCTTAGAAATCGAGAAGGAAAATCCAATTCAGTCGCTTGCATATAGCCCTAGATAAGAATATATACAGAAGTACATTAAAACAAGCAATACTGCAATAACGCTAACGTATTATTTCGCTAAGTTACTAGAAAACCGAATAATAAATAACAGACGCAACCTCTTGATACATACGCATGTACGTATAAAATTCAATGCGAATCCTCATCAGAGGACAAATTGTTTACATTTCACTTTTAAAAACCACATTTAATACTAATATTTCGAAAAGCTAATTAAAATAAGTTATAACAATAACGAACAACAACAAGAACAACAAAGAACAGCAAAGAGCAACACAGCTAAAATACTGAAAAATTATATAAAAATACAAACTCTTATCTTTCAACCAAAAAATTCGTGTTTTTATTACAAACAGTGGAGATTCGAGAAAAGGCTGAGATTAGAGCTTTTAACATCATAGTTTCCAACAAATACGCGTTTGCCAATAAATATCAAACTATTTTGTTCTTATCTACTTTGTTTTTGGGAAACGCCCCAAAAGTCCGTTTTGACTTTAATTAAAATTCGGAGACTTTCGATGACCGATTTCAATGTAAAAGCAGTGGTTACTTGCCAAAATCTAATTAATTATCTATCAAATTCTTATCAATCTGCGTTTTTTCGAAACGCCCCCGCTCCGTAAATTTTAATTTAGAATAATATCCGAAACGAGCTCAGTCGATCATAGTTATTTCAACGGACCAGTTTATATTTTCTAGACACTTTTTAATGTTTTTTTTTTAGTGTTTTTGAATTAAATGTGACAAAATGAAAGAAGCTGTGTGGACCAGACTTCAAATGTTTTTGGTCATTTTTCTTATTACGGATACTTTGCCTAATTCCGAATGTATTGTCAATTCGTAAGACTCCCAGAAAAAAATTTTATACCATTTAAAATTTAAAAATATTTTGGCTAAGATTCGTTCCATTTGTTGATATTACTAGGCCAAGTATCATAAGCAGAGATGGGAATCTAATTTTCGCATCCGGAGTAGATCGCAATATCAGTATTCTGTTGTCTGGAAATTCGCGGCTAACCATCAACGAAGAAATCGATGTGCTGGACCTTCTGATGGCCACCGGTGGACCCAAAACCATTGATCCCAAAACTGAATGGAATTCCGTCGAAAAAGTCGTAAGGGATCAGCTAGAGGATCAGCTGAATGATTTTCAAATGCGAGCTTTTGGGCCCAAAGGGTTGAGTGCCATGCTGGATAAACTGTTAAATAGGTAAACATTTTTCGAATCCTTATAAGGATTACGTATACGTAACATACAAGTTTCGCATAAAAAATGACGATGCGAGTTTCTCTAAAACCTTTGAATTTTTATATAATTGAGGAAAACGTAAAAGATAACCGTGTTTAGGGGGTTTCAAAAACACACTTCAAAATATTGTTGTTCTGAGTTTAAACAATATTTTCTGTTGTATATTTAGTATATTGTAAATACTGGTTTGCCTACTAGTATACGAAAATTCGTATAAAAAAAAATGTTAAAAAACTTTTTCAAGCCAAAGAAGAACATTTGTGACAGAATTTTCGGAAAATTAATTAGCACAATTTTCATATTAGTGAGTCTCAAAAATAATTAAAATAAACGAAGTAAAATAAAAATATTGTAAACTGAAATTTTGTACTACGATTTTTATTGAAAAATTTACGTTTTTTTTTTTAATTTTATAAAGCTTTTAAAATTAGTTTAATTTTAAAATTAGTATCGTTAGTTAAGGCAGTCAATTTGTCATCTTACACACGTGTACATTTTTTTTTGTAAGAACCGATTGGTTCATAAATTTTTGGGTTAGAGTGTTAAACAGCTTAAAAACGAGTGGTTTCGAGGAAAACCCATATCAAAAAAAAAAAAAACCAAAACCTATAAATGGGAGTGAGTTCAATGGAGTTTAACTGGAAGTTAATTCGAAACTCATGTAAGCAATTGCCATGAAAAGAGTATTTTGGATACAAGTGATAGCCTTAATTAAAGTTCGTTATTTCGCGCTATCGGGATAGCTCAAGCGTTTCGGAGGCTCTGTTGGAACGCCTCAAGGAGCAGCTTCGGGTGGTGGAGAACTTTTCATATGACATGGCAAATCTAGAGTGTAAAAATGCACCCTGCCAAAATGGAGGAAAATGTGTCAACAATTTCACCTCGTATTATTGCGAATGTCCATCGAACTTCGAGGTGAGTACACCCTCAAAAAACAAATTTTAACCCAAATATTGGATTGAGGAGAAATCCCCTTAAATTTCGAATTGCGTGTAATTTTTGTAGGGCAATTTGTGCGAGGTGGACGTTAACGAGTGCGCCCTGTACGAGGGCACCGATCTGGGTTGCCAGAATGGAGCCGAGTGCCACAATCGGCCTGGCACATACAGTTGCCTGTGTGCAGCGGGTTGGCATGGGATGCACTGCACCCAGCGAAGGGCGGACTGTTTGCAGTCGAGTTCCTGGGAACTCTGTGGCCACGGGTCATGCGTACCAAGCTCAGAGGCCACCGGCTACCGTTGCCTCTGCGATCCTGGTTGGACGACCAATGGACTGACTCCCGCCTGTGACCAGGATGTGGACGAGTGCAGCGTTGGGTCATCGGGCCATGCGCCCTGCTCCACCAAATGCATCAATCTGCCGGGCAGCTTCACCTGCTCGCCCTGTCCCGTTGGCCTAACCGGAAATGGATGGTCCTGCCAGGACTTGGACGAATGCCAGACGAACAATGGTGGCTGTAGTCTTCATCCCAGGGTCCAATGCATAAACACCTACGGATCGCATCATTGCGGAGAATGTCCAATGGGCTGGACCGGCGATGGGTTGGTGTGCGAACGGATTCCGTCGGAAAATAGTGTTCCGGGTGAAACAAGCTACAGAAGTTGCCCGCCGGAGAACAATCCCTGCCATCCGGTGGCCACTTGTCAGTTGCTTTCCGGATCGGCATCCTGCAGCTGCCCAATGGGCATGATGGGAACGGGTTACGGTCCGAGTGGCTGCCGCAACGGATCGACCACAAATTGTCAACGTCAACCTTGCCTTGTAAGTTTGCCCTCTTAAATATACACACTGATAAAAAAATGGATTAGTAAAAATAATTATTAAATTAAAAAATAAAATTAAATATTAAATGATTATATTATATACAAGTTGCAAGATTTTATTTTCAAATGTTTTAATCAATGTGAAAGATATTAAATTTTAAACAGTTCCTGATTGATTTAAATGCATTTAATTTAATTTTACTTTTATTTTCAAAATAAAACCATTTTTTATATATTAAAATCAATTCCTAACATAGTCAAATAAAAAAATTGTAATATTTTTAAATTTAAAATAACTAAAACCGCAACGCAATGAAAATCAAAGCGAAAAATATTTAAATTGAGTACAAAAAATTTGGATTTACTAGGTTTTTTTTTATCAGTGTATAAAAACCGCTTAGCAGCAACTTTATATTGTAAAAAAAGGTAAGTAGTTAAAAGTAAAGTATTAATATATTTTATGGTTATTATAAATTTATTTTTTCCAGTTTATTGTTATTACTTGAACAATTATTGATTTTAAGAAGTTTTTTATATTTGTTTAGTGTTAAATACCGTATTCTGTCAAGGTTTATAGTTAACTCTATCTTGGTTGGAAATACCACAGATTGACAATTGATAAATAGTTTTTTTAACGCGTTACATATTTGTGAATTTGTAAATTTTTAAAATACATTATTTACTTGCCTTGCAATATTCTTTATATTCCAATTGGGAAAGTATTTTTTTTGTAAATTTCTTATTGGTTAAGGCTCGATTTAATATTGATCCCATTATTAACTAACATTAACTTCGATTGTTTTTCAATAAATACACAGAATAATGGTATTTGCCGTGACGAAGGTCCCTCAAACTTTACTTGCTTGTGCCCCCAAGGATTCCGTCCGCCGATATGCGAGCCGGAGTCGAATAAATGCGATCCGAATCCGTGCCAAAACATGGGGATCTGTAGTATCGAAAACACAGTTGCCGATGGCTTTGTGTGCCAGTGTTTTCCGGGCTATGTTGGACACCTGTGCTCCATAGAACACAGTGCCTGCAACGACATCCTAAGTGCCGAAAGGGGCAGGTTGAAATATCCACCGAAAGGCGGGCAATACGAACACAATTCGCGGTGTGACTGGCTAATCCAAACCAATGAATCGTTGGTCCTGAATGTGACCTTTCATAGCTTCGATCTGGAGGACTCAACGGAGTGCCGATTCGATTGGCTGCAAATTAACGACGGCAAGTCTAAAGAAGACCGACTAATTGGCCGCTATTGTGGAGCCCAGTTTCCAAACAGCGGCAATATTGTGTCCTCCGGGAATCAGTTGTCTCTGCGTTTCCACTCTGACAATGCGACTGCAAAGGAGGGATTTGATCTCACGTGGAACTCGATTGAACCGCAATGCGGTGGCAAGTTGGATGTCGAGGACAGTGGCACACTCTATTCGCCAGGATCACCGGGAAATTATTTAAAGAACATGGACTGCCGCTGGCATTTGGTGGCACCAATGACCAAGCGCATCAAGCTCACATTTATAAGTTTTCAACTGGAGGAGCATGATAATTGCAATTTTGACTTTGTCCTGGTGAGTATGGAATGTTAAGGTTACACTTATATCGAAAACAAATAAAAAATTTATTAATTTTAATTTTTTTAAAGAAAATATTATTGATATAAAGAAATGTTCTTACATATTGTTGTGGTTCTTAAAAAAAAAACTACTGATATTCATCTTAAAATCCGTTTTAAATGTAATCTTAAGGGTTTAAGGAAATTGTTGTGGGATTAAGTACAAATATTCTTGAAAATATGTATATTTTATGGATTCTAAAAAATGAATGTTGAGTGTTATGTTACAAAAAGGTCTTAATACCAAGTGTAACCTTGAGTTTACCAACCAAATAAATAAATATAATTAAGTGGTAATTGTTAATTATAATTTTAAAAACCACTTGATTTTCAGATCAAAGACAGCATTTCTGGTCGCCAATTGGTCAAATTCTGCAGTAGTGGGCATCCGGAGCCACTGATTTTGCCCACCCACCGGGCGGAAATTGAGTTCCACTCGGATGCGGAGGGTAGCGATGCGGGATTCCGCATTCATTATTCCGCGGTGGATTCTGTGCCCGGCTGCGGTGGCTCCTACACTGCCAAGATGGGTACCATATCGGCATCATCTGCAGTTGGACAGCCAACCAGTGGAGCTTTCTGCGAATACGAGATTCAATTGGCGGCGGGTGAACAGATAGTCATTCAGTTTGTCCACCTGGAGTTGGGCACCCTGGACTGCGTGGAACTGATAGATGAGGATAGTACTGCTCTGAGGGACAAGATCTGCGGATCGGATGCAGCGGTCTCCAATCCACCATCTTTCACCTCGCAGTCAAATCGAGTGATGGTTAAGTTCTATGCCGTCGCAGGCAGCTTCGAGCTAAATTACCGAATGTCCTGTGACTTCACATTGGACAGTAACACAGGTACTTTGACCTCCCCCGGATATCCAAATCTGACCAGGAGCGATCGCCTGTGCACCTATACGATTAGAACACCCAGCAACACTTTGATCAGCGTGAAGCTGATAGACTTTGAGCTGCAAAGCACCGAGAACGACGATGAAGACTATGAAAATTATCAAGAAGTTAAAAATGATAAAGACTGTTCAACTACTAACTTAAAGGTGAGCATTCCAAATCCTCAAAAAAAAATAATATTTCGTTAACAAAATACATATTTGCCCCTTCCTAAGATTTTAATATACACACTTACATACATACATACCTCTATTGAAATTTGTGTCTTGAATAGTTTTGTTATTGCTCTAAAGCATTCATATTAATTAATTTGTATTTTGTTACCACTAAAAAAAATTAAAATTCATATAAAGAAATATTTCAAATAACTTCGGAGAATGTATGTATTATAACTGTTTTCACTTAAGACGCATTTGTTTTCATTTTTAAAACATAAAAAAAAAAAACGCACCAAATTAAATTGTCAGAGCGGCAACTATTTTGTATAACTGACTTTTTATTACGCCTTTGAAATCGTTTTAATAACTTTTTAAATCCGAAACACACGACAATTTGATTTAATTGTTTGTCTTTTTGCCGATGAAAGAGATAAAATCGAGTTTTCGACTCGAGAGACGGGAGCGGTCAGAGGGAACAATTTCCCCACGAAAAGTTTTCTGTACACCTACAATAACAACACAAACTGAAAGAAGGTCTTTACCTCGAAATATCTTACTTTAAATGCGCTCCTGGATAAAAAAGACATATGAAATGAATGAAGAGAGCTTTTGAGAGAGATAACGGAAATATTTCTCTCGCATTTTTTTCTTGTCTCTTCTCGTCTTTACTTCTCCATTCTTCTTTTTGAATATATATGCATGTATGAACACAGGACATTAAGCTTGTAAGCAGCAAAATTATAGTAATTTTATACTCGTCATTCAGGTTACCACTTTATAGAGTCGGCAACTTTTCAACAAATACAATATACTCTTTTACCCTACGAATAACGGGTATAAAAATTAAGATAAATAAGTAAGTAAATCGAAATTTTCACTGCAAACATTAGGAAAATTTAGTACGTACATACATACATACATACATATGCAGAATAGCGGCAATAATTTGTTCAATTTTACAAATGTACTGATGTACAAGAACATAATGATGTAAACAACTTCCCATTCTTGTTTTAGGTCTTACTAAAGATTAAATACAAAGTTTGAACTAACCAAGGTTCAAGAACTGCCTTTTCTTGATTTGGGTATTATTTATATATATATATATATATATATATATATATATAATATAATATAATTCTCAATTAAAATATTGGTTAATAAGAAAACGAATTTGGCACCCATAACAGATTTTTTTATCCCTCTTCATAATTTCCTTATTTCTACAGATAATCGATGGGCTGAACCGTCAGATCCTGGGGCCCTACTGCAGCAAGAATAAGCCGCAACAGGAGTTTATCAGCCGGACGAATTACCTGCAATACCAACTGACCACAAATGCAGACAGTACGGGTCGTGGCTTCAAGTTCGAGTACGAAGTTTTGTCCACTGGAAGTCGGAAATGCGGCGGAGTGCACACGACGCCTGGCGATCACATCCGTTTGCCAGAGAATCCGGATGACTTGTGCTATTGGGTGATACTGGCTCCGCCCAAAAAGGCCATCCGACTGCATTGGAATCAATTGCAATTTGCCAGCCCCTTTGATGACTGTACATTCGGTTCTATAGAGATTTTCGACAGTTTGAATGCCCAGCTTACAGATGCTAAGAACACGTCCCTGGGCAGATTCTGTCACTCCAGATCGATGCCGGATGATCTGGTGAGCCATTCAAACCATCTGGTCATCAAGTACAGCTCGTTTATAAAACTAGGAGAAGACCTTTTCGAGTTGTCTTACTCATTTGAGGATCGTAAAGAGTGCGGTGGCCACATTCACGGTTCCAGTGGGGAGCTAAGATCTCCAGGTTATCCGATGACAAACTATTCCTCCAGCTTGGACTGCGATTGGCACTTGACTGGACCCTTCAACTATCAGCTGGAAATTGAGATCGATTTTTTCGATTTGGAGTACTCCCCTAAGTGCACTGGGGATTATCTGGAGGTTAGAAATGGGGGAGGCATAGATTCCCCGCTAATAGGACGCTTCTGTGGGAGGACAATAACCACGCGGATACCCAGTTTCGGCTACGAGTTTCGATTGCTCTTTCATACGGATTCAGCAATCAGTGGGCGTGGCTTCCACCTCCGCTGGCGCCAGATAGCCATCCAATGCGGTGGTCACCTGCCTTCCAGCACGGGGGTCATCCTCTCACCCAGATACCCGAATGCGTTTCCCGCCCATTTAAACTGCAAGTGGTGGTTGAGCGTGCACCCCGGATCGGGGGTTTCACTGCTCATCGAGGACATTAATATTCGAGGATTCTTTCTGGACCAATGCGTTTTAGAAAGGTTGGAGATCTACTCGGGATTTCAAATGCCCGGCGATCGGCCGGCAAAGACAATCTGCAAACGGACAATGGAACAGATTAATCTGAATACCAGCCAAGCCACCGTGGTCTTCCATTCCGATTCGTATTCACGTTCCCACTCCCACCGCGGATTCCGGATATCATACACACCCAATTGCGTACAAAACCTGACGGCCCCCTTTGGAACCATCGAGAGTGTGAACTACATGGAACTCAATTGGGAGAACATGCTAGTGAATTGCAGATGGACAATTCGGGCTCCCAAGGGCAATCACATTCGCCTGGAAGTCTCTCATTTGCAGCATTTGCCTGGTGTCCCGCCGGTTGGATTGTACATCATAGATGGTCGCGATATCGACGCCATCTTGTCCCCCGGTGTGGTTGATTCCAAAGATGATCTGCTAACCATTGTCCACAATGCCAGCAGCTTGAATTTTCAGTTGGACTACCAAGTGGTTGGCTGTTTGGAGAGCCTGTACGGCGAAAACGGCACTTTCCATTCGCCGAACCACCCGAAAATGTATCCCAACAACATGGAGTGCTACTGGCTAATCGAAGTGGTACGAGAAAAGGCCATCGAGCTTACTATTACCGATTTGGATATCGAGGAGAGCGTCAATTGCACCAAAGATGCGCTGACGGTGAGTTTGGCCATTGTTTATTTCCTGAACCACACATAATAATCCATTACATTTAGGTTTCTGACCATAAAACTGAGATGCTGGCAAACGAGCGCCATTGTGGCTCCAGGCTCAAGTTGGTTCTCACCAGTTCTGGACATAGGATGCACGTACGTTTTGTCTCGGACGGATCGCATAATGGGCGAGGCTTCAACGCCACCTATCGAACAGTGGAAAAAAGTGAGCATAAAGTTGTGGTCTATAAAAATCCCTATTATCCAGATATCCGATTCGAGGGTTCGGGTGTAGAAATGACTTGATAAGATTTTCGCTTTTAGTGTCTTAGTGCTGTCCAACTTATTAAGGTATTTTCATAATTGCATATTTTTCATTCACGCAGCTTGTGGTGGCAAGATCTCGACCAGGAACAGAGTGATTCAGCTGCTAAGCGACCCAGTCCCCTTTTTAATGGACGCACGATGCGAGTGGCAAGTGGAGGCGCCCCCTCACCACAGTATTGTGTTCGAGGTGCAAAACCTGGATTCAAAAATGTGGGAGCATGGCAACTGCACCTCGAAGTTTATAGAGGCCGTCGATCTCACAGACGACGACGCCGAGGATCATATGTTGTTTAAGATATGCAATGGAAGGGATGAATTTAACACATCGATAGTTTCAACTACCAATCGAGCACTGGTGCGATACTTCCTCTATGGCATCTACAAATTCACCCCATTCCGGCTGCACTTCCACGAGTCCTGTGGTCAGACGGTGCGTTCTCCAGGTTTCCAAATATGTACTTAAGTCGCCCGTAGAGTAAACTATTCTTCGTTTCTTGCAGGTTATCATTAGGGATACGGACTTGAAGTACATTCAGTTGGCACTCCAGCCGAAGCAAAACGAGAACTGTGTGTGGGTGCTGCAAGCCCAGGAGCCAAGCAACCGAATCATTTTTACGCCTACGCATATAAGGTTGCGCGATGAGGTCACTCCAACTGAGGACGACTGCGTAAAGATCTACGAGGGTACGGAGGTCGCCGGCACACCAAGTCTCCAATACTGCCGCTCCCACCCGCCGGCCTTTTACTCCGAAGGCCAGGCTCTGACCATTAATGTGCCCCTCCAGTTGGTGGACGAGTTCGAGGCTAACTTCATGATCATGGACGCGACATGTGGCAGCGTATACACCGCCATTAGCGGTCGTTTCAGTTCGCCGCACTACCCCGACGCGTATCCCCCAGACATTGAGTGCATCTGGGAGCTAAAGGCCAGCCAGGGCAATGCCCTCAGTCTCACCTTGGAATCGATGAGAATTGAGGAATCGGAGGGCTGCAATCGGGATTATCTGGAGGTGCGCGAGGGTTCGGCGAGGGGAAACCTTATAGGAGTTTACTGTGGCTCCCAGGTGCCCAGTACGATACACTCGCGCAGTTCCATCTGGATGAAGTTCAAGAGCGATGATGCCAATGAGAACGCGGGATTCATTGCCTTTTACAACTATGGTGAGTATATTTATACACAAAAAATTCCAATAAAATTAAAAAAAAAGAAAAAAAAGAAAAAAAAAAGAAAAAAAAAGAAAAAAAGAAAAAAAAGAAAAAAAGAAGAAAACAAAACAACTCAAATAATCACCATTTTTAGAACGCAATAACAATTTGAATGGCGATGATGGCATTGTGGAATCACCCCACTTTCCTAGCAAGTTCGATGGCTCGTACTTGTGGCGAATTTCCGTGGACGAGGGCTATTTGGTGGTGGTAACAGTGCTCCACCTTAAGGATGTAGACCAACCGCATTTACGCTTCTACGACGGCTTTTCGGCTGATTCAGATCAAATCGAAGTCACAGATCCCGAAGGGCCCATCCAATCGAGCGGAAATGTGATATGTATCACCGCCAACGGCGCACCATTCCGCCTAAGATGGCACCAGTTGTCCACGAAAGTGCTGCACTCGGAAACGAGTATCTGTGCAAACCAGCTGCTAATTATTGACCAAACGGCCATCGATTTGCACTCGCCGGGCTATCCGAACGGCTACGAACATGACTTGAACTGTAGTTGCATTTTGAAACCCCTAAATCCGGCCGAACATGCGATGATAAAGCTGGTTAAAGTTGATCTGGAGGTGTTCAGTGCTCCCGGAATTGAGTGCTTAGCGGACTACTTAAAGATCTCTAGCAGTAGTGACCTTCACAACTGGTCGGAGTTGAGTACACTATGCTCTTTTCCCAGTGAATCCAGTAATATAAGCTTCCACGGAAAGCCCTATCTTCGGGTGGAGTTCAATTCGGATGCATCATTTAATCAGACCGGTTTCAATGCTACGGTGAATACGGCCTGTGGTTCGCATATAAAGTCCGTGAAAGGGCGGGTCAACATTACGGAGGTCCTGCAGATCAAAGATGTCCAGGGGAGCAGCCAGGAGTGTGAGTGGACCTTGGAGGTGCGGCAGGGCAGGAGAATCAAGATCGACTTTCCCGAATCACAGTTTCAGAATAGTGGTGGTGATTTCAATCACTGTGATAATTTCCTTATCCTACACAATGGACTCGATCAAGACTCGCCCGTTTTGGGCAGCGGCAAATACTGTGACAATAATATTCAGGGTGTCCTGGAAACCTCTTCGAATAGGGCCTATGTAAAATTACAGTACGTGGGCACACCCCGTTTTCGAGTGACCTTCCGTTTCGAGGAAGTGGATCTGGGCTGTTCTGCCGGAATCGAACTATCCGCTGACGGAGGTGAAGAGTTCATCAGCTCACCTGCGTACCCCGATATCCCTAAAGCGCATACCGAATGCATGTGGACTGTGAGAGCTCCGATACAGCATCGCATTGTGTTGAACTTTGAGGATAAATTCGATCTGGACTCGAAGGATTCAGATTGCCTGGACGAGTACGTGCAGGTGTTCGATGGCCGCACGACGTTAAGTCGACAGATTGGTCGATTTTGCGGCAATCGCAAGCCGGACACCATCTACTCCTCCGGCAATCAGCTGAAAATCCTCTACTACACGGATATTTTAAATCCGCATATGGGCTTCAAGGCCAGTTTGAGATTGGCCCGTTGCGGTGGCTCCTATCACAGTCCCGATGGGGTCATAACCTCACCGCCGCCCAATCTCCTGCTGACCGACAGCGACGAAGTGGGGGAGTGTGTGTACACCATCGAACTGGAGAGCGACCACCATATCGAGCTGAACATTGAGTATCTCGAGATCCCCGAAGAGAAGAATGGCGGGTGCTTCATGGATAACCATCTGCTGCTTGAGGGCGCGAACAGAACAATCTGCGGACACACTCCTCAACACCTGTATACCGAGAGCAACATGATCGTGATCCGATACCGTTATCGGAAGGGCACTATGCCGGAGGGTCAGGGATTCCGTTTCCGCTACAAGTCAGTGCGTTCCCGCTGCAGTGAGACCATCGTGGCCACTCAGGGCTTTCTTATATCACCCGACTATCCCGAAGGTCCCGACACAGTAAAGTTCTGTGACTGGCACTTGGAGGTACCCAAGGGCCAACGAGTGCGCCTGGAAGTTCTAGACTTCAACATGGACGAGAGGCCGAACCACTATGAGTACCTCTGGGAACGATACCTTCAAATTGCCAACGATCGCGATATGCTCTCTATTATATGGAACAGCGACAGTCATCCGCCTGCGGTTATTGAGTCCTACCAAAATACAATGAGCATCAAAACCCTTTTATTGCCCCTAGCTAATCAGAGAATAAAGATACGCTTCAGTGCTTTCGGGACCAGTTCGTGCCAGCTGCTCGAGATCGAGCAAGATCAGGTCAAGGAGCTGGCCTTTCAAGGTGTCAATCTCACTCAGCCACTTTTCTGCAGCTATAACATGGAGCCAGCGTTGGACAGCACCATTCTGATTCGGGTAAGTGTTTATAATCTTATAACAAAAATCAAATAATTTACAAAACGACTACCTCTTGATTTATATGCGTATATGTTAAAAAACAATGAGGCAATGTCTGTTTTTGTTTTTTATTATATTTTTACTCTCAATTCATAATCTCTATTAAGGAACACTTGATGAAATCTCACTTGAATTCCTTTTTTTCAGGTGAAACAATTCGACCATAACCATTCGATAGATTGGTTTCGATTTGGCTGCTTTATGTCATCGCCGCTCCGGATAATCGATATGAATCGGTCGAAAACGCTGAAGGGGAATATCCTCTGTGCCTTTAAGTCCCCCACGGCGAGTCAGAACCCTCCCTCTCTTGGAGTGCCGTTCCCCATTCAAGTGAAAGTCAGGGTCGGCGTCCATCAATCCTTGCAGAATCTAGTATTGGAATATAGCATGCAAGCCTGCGGTGGAGTGATAACCCTCGAAGTGGGTCAGCAAATGACGATTGAACAGCCATCGGGAATGGATGCGATTCAGGGAGCCATAGACTGTGCTTGGCTCATTCGACCACCAATTGGCGCATACGTTTACCATGATATCCTGTTGGAGGTGTTGCTGCAGGTCAGCCTGCCCACTTCGCCCTCGGCTGCTGGATCAAACGAGACGGATTGTTCTCACCACTACCTCAAAGTAAGAGATTTGTTTTATTTCACTTTTTGGTTTTTATGACACAAGCCATTAATATCATGCCGTTTGTTTATTTTGTGTAATTTTACCACTATTTCAGATATACAAGGAACCATATCAGCGCTCTAAATTGCTAGGAACATTCTGCAACCATACATACGCTCTAAAATTGCCGATATATAACGGTATCTTCTTGGAATACCACTCGGATTACTTCATCCCCAATGCCACGTTCAATGTGACCATTACGTACGGATCGGTATGCGGTGGCAAGGTGACCCCACCATACCGCGACATCAATTTTCGTGAGCAGTACAAAAATAACGTGGAATGCATCTGGGAGGTGGAGGCGGAGTCGGGTTACCACATTGGTCTCACCTTCCACGATCGTTTCTACATCGAGGAGAGCTCCGGCTGCACCAAGGACTATCTGCTCGTTCAGCAACGCCAAGAATCGTCCGGTAATTGGACCGATCTGCAGCGTATTTGTGGTCGATCGCCGCCGGAGATGATCAACACCACAACAACGTATCTGCGACTGATCTTCCGATCCGATGGCAATGTGCTGGGCGATGGTTTTGCGGTCAGGTTCGAGGTAAATTGCGGAGGAGTACTTTACGCCGATGAGAAGGACCAGCAGTTGACCAGTCCAGATTACACGAGCAGCATCAAAGAAAAATGGCAATGTAGTTGGACTATAGTACCCAGAAATCCCTCAGTGGGACAAGGGGTCCAGGTCAGCTTCTCACGAAGGCCCGACGTTTGTGAAGTCTACGAACTCACCATGTACATGCGAGATGCCGAGGATAACGTAAAGAACACCACTGTCTGCAATTCACGGAATCAAATTAATAACATTACTAAATACACAGGCAGGGAATCGATTAGTCTTCTTTTTCGTTATGAAAACCTAGAAAATTTTCATGGTTTCATATTGCACTACAGCACTATTCAATGTGGAGGTGTAATCAGCACAGCGGGAGTGATTGAATCCTCCCAAATGCCTGAAAATGATTGTCTCTGGAATTTGACTGCACCCGAAGGTCACAAGATCATTATTAAATTCGAGCTTTTGGATATCAATTCCGATGATGACGACCGTTGTGTTAACAGTGGCGTCGAGGTGTACGCCGGTTCTATTCCCAAATTCGAAAACCGGCTAGTTCATTTCTGCGGTCGCATAAGCGAGGATCTCCGTATTATCAATATTGCCCAGAATTGGGGTCTCATTCGCAGTTACTCGAGAACCAATAATGTGCCCTCCTTTCGAGTTTTGGTTAACATGGTGCCAAACTGCGATCAGCTAATACAGCTGAACGGTTCCGTGAGCTATAACTATGAAAAATTCAAGAACTCGGAAGGTTACGCCTCCAATCTGGATTGCCAAATCGTTTTCCGGGTCAACAATGATCAGCAAATCGCTCTACAGTTCAACAGCTTCCACGTTCAGCAGTCGGCGAACTGCATCAAAGATTATGTGGAATTGCGCGATGGCAGCGGACCTTTTGCCGATATCATTGGACGTTTCTGCGGTCAAGATCTGCCGCCCAGGCTTAACACCACGCGGAATAACATCTTCCTGCGCTTCGTCACCGATGCCCAAGTGAACGATTCCGGCTTTGATCTAACGATAACTGCCATACCATGGATTTGCGGTAAACCATACATTCAATTGCACACCGACAGACAGAAAGAAGTCACAATTACCAGTCCGTTGAGACCTCCGGGCGGGAATTACGGCAATGCTTGCTACTGGAGAATCATGGGCGAATCGCCGTTAATTGTTAAATTTGTCAACTTTGATCTGCAAGGACCCGATGCCAACGGAAGCTGTGTAGACGAGTACCTGAAGATCTACAGCAGACAGGTGAGGATCATTAAAACACATATTTTAAATTTAAATCTACCTAACTAATAATGGGGCTGTTAAATTAACAGATAACAATTTGTGTTGGTTATTGCTCTTCTATATAGTTATGTTTGCACACAGTGATAAGCAGTTTCTTCACTTCATAAAATCATGCTGAGTGGGTCTAATTATGTTTGATATAATCCCGCTTTTTAGGATGCCCGGCTTATGGAATTTGGGTCCTGGCTGTCAATCGATGGAGATAGATCCTCAAAAAATGCCACGGAGCACGTATACTGCGGTAACATGAAGCCGGACACTTACCACGGCACCGACGAAATGTACATAAGGTATCAGACGAATGGATTGGTCCCCCGATCCGGATTCCAGTTGCAGATCTCCATGTCCTCCAAATGCGACCGTGTTTACGGCGGGCTTCAGGGAAGAATTCGGCAAACAGCACATTGTGATATCAACATTCAAGCACCTGTCAATCACACACTGAGTCTCTATATCAACAAACTGCGGCTGGATAGCGTGTACTGCTATAACTACTTATGGATCTATGCCGACAGATTTAAATTTTTGAAAAAGTTCTGTCCCTATGAGGACGAGGGAAAGGCCCTGTTCAGCCATTCGGATCGACTGACACTGAATGTGAACACGTACGGAAAAGTAGAAATGATCGACATCACCTATCTGGCTACTCCGGCAGATAAGGAACCCGGCTGCGGAGGGCACTTTTACAACTCCGCCGGCGTCTTTACCAATCCCTATTATCCGGTCAATGTTCGGAATAACTCCGACTGTCGTTGGACCGTCCGTGTGCCGAGCAACAATAAAGTACTTCTTGACTTTAGTTGTGAGTTGAATTTGCCCTAAAACAATAGATTCCAAATCTCATATATTTCTCGTTCTACCTTAAGACATCAATCTTGGCTCGAAGAGCACCTGTCAGACGGACTACCTGCAGATTCTAGAAAAGGAGAATACTGGTGAGGAACATGAGATGCGGCGATTCTGTGGCGAAGACGATCCCAAAATGTACAAGAGCCAGCGCAATGAAGTGGTTGTCCACTTCCACAAGACAGTCAACTTCGATGGCACCGGCTGGGTGATCCGATTCAGTGGAGTGTACTCAAATTATCGGATACCCAATGACTTGTTGCCATAAGAAATTCTGCCCACAAAAGACGGACAAGTATAATTGTATTACACTTGTAAAAATGCAGCTGTTGATAGCTAAAAGGTGCCAAGAGTATATTTTTTCCTTTCAAAACCGATACAAAAGCAACATCTTCGATAATAAAGAAATGTTGGCCTTATCAGTTTCGATAACATACATTTTTAAACATTTTCTTTTTGAATACTATAGGACCAAATTTTTTTTTTATTGGATATGATTTTGCCTTTGTTTTGGTTTCAATAAATACTCTTAACGCCTATTGTCTTTTGTAAGCCTAAAACTTGTCAACAGCTGTAAGAAGTTAAACAAATTATTCCATATTTTTACATATTAAAAAACTTAATAAATTTTAACCTTTACTTAAATCCTTAATTATGTTATTGCAATGAATGTGTCTAGATAAATTGTAGATTATTATATTTATTAAAAATATGTAAAACCAAACCATACTTAGCTAAACTTAATTAAGTAAATGTTAGTTATTCTCACTTACAATCTCTTCAGTCTGTCTTCATCGCGTTGGCATGTGAAATGCTATTGCCTAGGGAATTTTTGGGCAAAACACATTTCAATCGACACATTTAAATATATATGACATATCGTAAACCACATTTTTGTGTTGCATAAGCCGATTCCGGTCCACGCGGCGCTGCCCATTGATCAGTTAGTCACTATTTGCACACACCACGTCAAATCGGTCGCATTATAATAATTCCGATTACCATTCATGGAGCTCCGGACTCTGGGAACCCGGCCTGCCCCAACACAAGATGCTTTGACACCCAGCAGGTAAACCACGCTTGTGGCCCCACTGTAAAAACAACAACAGCGAGGTGATAAAATTCCAATCACCTTAAAATGCACAGTAAAACTTCACTAACGTTGACTGCCCCAGAAAACATTGTTAAAATATTTAGCATCAGACCAATGACCTTAACATTTAATAGACTTTAATTGAAATTCGGAGGAGCAATTTCGCTTATCGAAGTCACTTTTAAAGCTGTCTAAAATTTGCAATATTGCAATATTTTTTGTATTTTCCATTCATATATTCATTTATAAATGTATCTAAATTTTTATGTGATTTCAAAATTTCTAATTGAATACTTATATTAATATATAACAAAACTAATGTTATATATTATGTTAGGTTATGGGCCATAAAAATTGAGGCCATTAAAAAATGTTTGAACAAATGTCTGCAAGCACATTAATTATACTTGTTGTATGATCGCAATCTTGCACTTTAAATGGCCGCACAAATTTGTAACCATACATTAGGCTTAGTCTATGGCGTATTGATTTTGATTGATCTACAGAAGTTCGACTGTAATTTCGATGTTTATTTTTTCTTTAGCTATTTAAGCGAAACTGAAGCTGAAACTGAAACTAAAACCGAAAAACGTGCTGGTAACGGGTCATCAGCAAATCGAGAGACCGAGCGATAGAAAGAGATGGCATCTTCTGGGCTGCGCATGCGCAATAGCGCGCATTAAATAATTTATACAAAAATGCACACAAAATTAACAAATTTGAAAACGATGTTGCATGATATAATAATCCGGCTGCCTGGGATTCCGAGATGCCAATCCACGATCCACGACCATTGGCCCTTCCAAGCCCAAAATTTCTGTTGCAATATAAGCACATACACTGGGAGAAAAAAAAATAAATACAAATAATAATAATAATAATAGAAAAATCTTTCACTTGCTTTGTTTGGTAATGGAGATTTAATTTTGCCAAATTTAAATTACAAACATTACAATCATGTACAAATAAGGTATAACATACATTTAAAAATTTTAGAACACTGAAAAAAAACTTTAAAGTTATAAAATAAAAAGTTAATATGTGGTAGAGTTAATATAATAGACTACAAGTCCCTGGCAAGAGTTGTGTAAATATGTATTGCAAAATTCAAAAGATTAAGATTGTTTAGAGAATGCATTAAATAATCTCTTAACAGATTTATATTATTAAACAATATCAATTTGGAATAGGTTGCAGAAGCTTTTAAAATGTTGAAAAAACTATAAAGTTTCTTAATAAATCTACGCATTCATTTTAAGTGTAAACAGCGAACCGTTCAAATCGATAATCATATGCAAAAAGCCGGTCAGTTTGTTGCGGTGACTTGACCTACGACGCACCTCGTCTCGGGAGCGGAGCGCATCTGTTTAAGCTTTAACTGGTTAAATAGTGTTATCCGCTTGAGTTTGTTATTGTTATTATGTTACTCTTATTGCTTTTGTTTTTGTTGTTGTTTTTGTTTCGGTTTTCGGTTGCTTGTCTGCCGGCAATTTGTTTTTGTTGCATATGATTTGGGCAGTTGAAGAAATAGATGAAGACGATCGCGGCCAACAGGGTGTCTTTTTATACCTATTATTTTTGAGTTTTTTTTATTTCTATTTGGAACCAAATCGATACAGAGTATTAAATTTGTAACTTAATGGTTTTTAAATGATATTAACAAAAAAACAATTATTTAATTTTAGTTGTTTTGCAAAACGGTAACCCAAAACTAAACATATATAGTTTAATTGTTGTTTATTCGCTACCGATCTAAATTATTATTTGTACAGTTATTCATTTTGGCGCTGGTAATATTTTTAAGCCAATTTATCAATGTTCCAAAACTACACTTCGAGAATTGGCCTCCAATTTCATAGTTAACATACCTCTAAACATGTGTAGATACATTCTCTTATAATCTGCTTTAAAAAAGTTATGTTATTTAATCAAATTAAATTGATGGTAATTTTTAGACCCAGTCAACTATTTCCAAGTTTTTTCTTAATATTTGTGGCTACATTTCCCAATAATCTGCTTAATAGTAATTCGTATTAATGATGGTCAATTTGTAGACCCATTTTTATGTCAATTGTGTCCAAGTTTTATTTGACTTGCAAAAAGGTGACCCAAAACTGAATTTCAATATACCAAAAGTTTGCTAATCAGATCCCGATTTTAAAGTGGATTTCTTTAAAAGTTTGTTGTTTAATTCTCGTATAATCTGCATTTTTGATTATTGATTAATTGATTGATTTTGGTTAGATTTTTGATAAAATTTTTAGCTATTTTATTGACAAAAAAAATAATGGATTTAAAATTGAAATAAACTGTTTTTTGAGACAAACTTTTGTTCACAAAGAGCTGAGTAATGATGGGATTTGGAGACCTTGATCCATTATCATACATAGAAATTATATTTGTTGTGATGGGCACATTTTTCGTATAACGAGCACCCTGTATCCCAGTCCCATTGAGATCTCAGGTGAGTTACAAGAGCAACATGGACAGCATCGGGCAGGTGGTGGTGACTCCACATCGATGGCTCTCCGCCGCTGACGTCACGGGCCATCGCGGCATCGTCATCTAACGGTTTTGTGCTGGTGGAACTCCGGCGGAACTCTTGTATAAAAACGTTGGATCGACTGCAAAGTGGCATCATTCGCTGGCCGGGAACAGTACGACGAACAGGTATCGTCTTCGATTCCACGTTTTTTTTTTTGTCAAAACTTAAACCGAGATTTCTAACGCCGGAGAATGAAGGTGAGTAGTTGTGGATTACCGGATGTGGACTGACCTCTGGATATATGTGTGCTTAACGGATTAACTTATCGCCAGGTCTTCATCTGCCTGCTGGCCACCATTTGTGTCTGCAATGCCACATTCCTGTCCTTTTTGGGTGGAGGTGGAGGAGGAGGTGGCACCAAGACCACCTATAATGTGATAGCCACGCCCACTTCAGGAGGAGGAGGAGGTGGTCATGGAGGCGACGGTGGTCATGGCTATGCCCAGGGACATGGTTATGCCCAGGGTGGTCATGGACACGGTGGCTCCTCGCAGATCATCAAGGTCATTCTGCAGGAGGGTCAGGGATATAGCAATGCTGGAGGATCGGCTGGCGGCATTGTGTCCGCCGGATACAGTCATGGTCATGATCATGGTCACGGTTATGCCAGTGGACAGTCCTATGGTCATGATCATGGATCCTATGGCGGCCAGCAGGCCCAGATCTACAAGATCATCGAACAGTCCCCGGCACCAGTTGCAGCTCCTGCTCCCATTCCCATTTCCATTCCCATTTCTATTCCGGCTCCTGCCCCACCAGCTGCCCCCATTGCCTATCATGCATCCGGTGGCTCCAATGGCTACTCCTACGGCCAGGGACACTCCCACTCTCACTCGCACTCCCACACGCACTCCTACGGACAGTCGTATGCGGCGGGACATGGCTATGGTGGAGCCGCCTCCTCCTTCGATGCCCAACAGTTCAATGCCATTCTGCCGCAGATCATCCAGTTGGTGCTGCAGGAGGACTCCCTGGGCGGTGGCATCGGTGGCGGTGGCGCCGATGTGGCTGCCATCAATGGCCAACTGATCAACACATACGGCTCCAAGGGCAAGGCCATCATCATGAAGGCGGATCAGGCGCAGGGAGCCTTCTTCAAGAGCGGTCATGTGGTGCAGCGGGGAACCCTGAAGGTGATGCGTGTCCAGGAGCAGCAGTCCCCGATTGCTAGTGGTGGCTCCAAGGGTGGCTGGAGCTCCGGTGGAGGTGCCCCCTCCGGTGGCTGGAGCTCCGGTGCAGCATCCTCCGCCTGGTAGATGCACTGCATCCGCTGGCCGCCTAGTTAGTTAGACCAAATGAATTGCAATTTTTTTTTCACTATCCTCTATTCTATCGTTATGTATTTTTTTTCCTAGGCTAATCCTTCACAGTCATTACCAAACAAAAGATAAACAAAACATCCATCATTATTAACTTAAATTATTTGTTAATAAACAATTTGAAATAACATAAAGTGTTTTATTTATGTACCAAAGAATAGGTATACAAATGGTAAAAATAAAAAAAATATAGAATTGCCTACAATAATGGTAAATGTTTAATTACAATTTGAAAGCATTATTTTATATATAATTAGCTAAAAAAAAATTGTTAAGAAATAATCAAATCAAAGACACTTAAATAACAAAGAAATTGAAGTGTATGTTGCCATTTCAATTTTCCCACAATTAATTTGATCTATAGGCTTATCAAAACAATCAATTTCTTTCATTTTAAAACCATTATTTTTAATGATTTTTGCCGTTGTCTCAACCGTAATTGTGTGTAAACAAAGAGAGTTCAAAAACTAATACATTTAACATTATTTGTAAACAACTAAAGACCTCAAAAAATGTGAACACCCCACACAACTTCATCACATCCATCGTTATGCTTACCCAATTTTATTTTCAAGGCTGAGAAAATCACAAGAAAAGCGAAGAGGCAGGCCATCTCAGACCTCTTCATCATTAACTTATATTATTTGTTAATAAATAAATGGGCCCAAAACCAAACATATGCAAAACCAGCCACGAAATTTGTAACATGTTATGCGATTACGTCACTTTCACGACTTTCATTGATGATGACGAGTTTGGCCCTCGGCCGGCAACAGTTTAGTTTTGAATTGATTGGCCCCCGGAGGCGTTGCGAAATGCTGAATGCTGAATGCTGAACCCGGGTCCGTGTCCAAATGGTCGAACTCCGATCACCGGACCCAATTCCAGTTCCGAATCCAAGACTCCCAAGACTCCCAAGCCCCCAGATCCCCAAGTCAAAGGTGAAATTACCAAAGACGCTGTGGATCAAAAGAGATGGCAACGTGAGCCATTTGGCATTTGAACTCACGAACTTTCACGAAGTAATCACTTTTGAATGGTATTCCTCAAAATTTAAATAATACCATATTTTCAAGAATTTTTCAATTTTAGATTCATCTATAATAACGGATTATTTTGCCACCAAAAACTGATTAAAGATTGTGATAAATATCTAGCTATTAAATTTCAAATTGTATATTTTATATATAAATTAAAAGTTAATTTAAAATATTAAATACAATGCATATTAAATAGCATGATTTAATTATAAAATATTTTAGCTAATGTTGTAAATATTAAATTTAAAATAGTTTCCATTTATTTTAAATGCATTTAAATAAGGTTTAAATTTAAATTACATTTTCAAACAGTACTACGCCTTTTTATACCAATTTATAAAATAAACCAATAAATAAATTAAATAAATTAATTTTACCTATGAAAAATTAAAAAAAAGAAAACAAATTTTCAACTAATTAAGTTTTTTAAACACAACCTGTAAAAGTAGTCTTAGTTACTTTGCAAAGTATATTTAAAAAAAAAATAGTTTCATTTATTTAACCCAAGACTTCGTATTCTGATTTCTGCTCAATGAGGTCATAGTTGAAGAAGTAAAAAATAAGTATTCCTTGATTTTATTAGCAAATTTTACTGCATATGAGTATAACAAATAATTTTGAAATTTTCATAAATTTAAAATGCACTAGAAAAGCATGAAATAAAATAAAATAAAATAAAACAAAATAAAATAAAATAAAATAAAATAAAATAAAATAAAATAAAATAAAATAAAATAAAATAAAATAAAATAAAATAAAATAAAATAAAATAAAATAAAATAAAATAAAATAAAATAAAATAAAATAAAATAAAATAAAATAAAATAAAATAAAATAAAATAAAATAAAATAAAATAAAATAAAATAAAATAAAATAAAATAAAATAAAATAAAATAAAATAAAATAAAATAAAATAAAATAAAATAAAATAAAATAAAATAAAATAAAATAAAATAAAAAAATAAAATAAAATAAAATAAAATAAAATAAAATAAAATAAAATAAAATAAAATAAAATAAAATAAAATAAAATAAAATAAAATAAAATAAAATAAAATAAAATAAAATAAAATAAAATAAAATAAAATAAAATAAAATAAAATAAAAAAAAATAAAAAAAAATAAAATAATTACTTGTACTTTCACTTTCAGTTCCGTTTCACGCGATCATCTCTGACCATCTCTGATCATCTCTGATCATCTCGGTATGGGGCAAATTGATTTCGGATGTTGCTGCCAATTATGTGGATATTTTATACCCAATCGACACCCATTGTTTCCGCCGTTCACAGTTTTACAACGGATTGCCCAATGACCAGGCCAAAAACACGCATGGCATGTAATATTACAAATACTTTTACAAAGTATAATTCGATTTATTAGCAAAAAAATAATAATATTAGCATACGATTATCTTTCGGGTAACACTCAGTGGACACCGAATACGAATCTTTTTTTTGTTTTATTAGTGGGAGTTTTTTAGTTAAGCACACGTTAATACAGACAAGGACATGGACCGACATTTTCTGGCTCTAATCCCATCGGGTTATATTGGTTAATACTTTCGAAGGCCGGCTAAATTGCACGTTGGAACAGATGGGCCAGCAGCTCGGCCTCGCTCAGATCCATTTTGTACTTCTGGACAATGTCCTGCACCTTGAGTCGTCGTCGCACATGCGGCGGTTGGTAGCTAACAATATAAATATATATAACAAAAATTAAATATTCTTTAAAACGACTGTAGATATAACAAAAATTAAACAATCTTTAAAACGATTGTAATTCGTTTTGTATGCGTTTATGTTTGAAAACAATCGATCGTTTCTATGGAACGTTGTCCGATTTAAATACAATTAAAACTGTGATTGAAAACCAATGCTAAATATCAAAGTATATTTGTATAAATTGAAAAACAGTTAAGTATTAATTTTTTAAATTAAGCTTTATGATGCCGTTGTCCGATTTCAATAAAATAAAAGTAGTAATGATAACAATACATTACTATTCTCAAAGTGTAATAATATAAATTTAAAAACAACAAAATTATCAATTTTTTTTTACGATGTAGAACTATTTTCATATATTAGCCTGCAATACAACGAAAACTTTTGAGAAAGTACTATCCAGTTAGCTCTAAAACTGAGTCTATCATGCGTAGCAACGGACAAACGGACAGGCATACGGACGGACAAAGGGCTATGGCTAGATCGTCTATGCTGATCAAGAATATTTACACTTTATAGATTCGCAAATGTCTTGATTGAAAGGGTAATTATAAGGGTAAAAAAAAAAAGAGGTAGTTTCCCCGCCCACTCACTTGTCATTGTCCAGTCGCCGGCGGCGTGATATGTTTAATGCCGTCTGTCGCACCAGATTGCCGACGACCCGCCGGCTCAGCACCATGCCATCGACGAGGGGCGTGGCAAAGCTCATCCGCCCGGGCGGACCCTGTAGCTTGACCCTCAGCAATCCGGATAGCAGCGAGTGCACGAAGATCACATGGCAGTCGGTGGCGCGGGGCAGCTGCAGCGTGTGCAATTCCTCGCCGGTGCGCGTATAGGCCAGCACATCCTCGAGCGGAAAGTTGAGGTAATCCTCGTAGCTCTCCAGCCACACCAGAAAGATCTTGGCCGGCGCCTGGGCCAACAGTGTGGGCTTCGTCACATTACCCTTTCGCCGGGTCGGCGGCACTGGCTCCTTGGCCCCAGGCTCCCTACGATTGTGAGTGTCCAGCTCCAGACTGAGATTCCTTGACTTGGATTTCGCCAATCCACTCATGCCATCCGCCTCGCCGCGTGCCCACACATTGCTGGTGCCAATTTGATCTGCACTCGAGATACTTGCACCGTCGCCACCGGTGTCGCTATTATGTCGTAGATTCCACGTCGTGGGCACCACAAAGGCAATTTCCGAGGACACATCCGCCCAGTAGAGCACCCTCTGCGACCCATTGTAGTTGAGCTCATTGGCGGCCGTATTGATTTTCAGCTGCTGTTCCTCGGGCGTTCCCTTGAGTGACCACGAATTGTGGGCAAAACCCGTCCAGCCGGAGTGCTCCGTGACCTGAACTGGCCAGCCCAAGGTCTGCAGCATGCTGGCAAAGTGCGGATCATGGCCGGCGGATTGCTCCTCCGACATATTACCGATAATCTGCTGGGCACTCGTCTGTCCGGACTATAGAAAGTGGAACGATCATTAGTTGGGTATTTCAAAATTTCAAAATTTCAAATTTCAAAAAAAGCTTCTGTAGTTAGCCTAACCTTCACATAGAACACATAGACGGTGTCGTGCGTCCGGGCACTCAGCTTGTCCAGTCGCTCCAGATCGGCGGCAAAGGCCGTGGACTTGGTGTCCAGCACGATGAGCGGTCGCTGTGGCGGATTGCCCAATGCCTCGGCGGGATTGTGCGGATTGCGCGTCTCGAAGCCAAGGAAACCGAAGTGCGAGAGGAAGAGCCGTGCCGCATGGAACTCGTGGCACACCGCCGGCGGCACACATTCCTGTCCATGCGACAAACTATCCGCACTGGTGTCCGCCTCCGCCCAGGCCAACTTCTCATGGATGCTTTGCGTTTCCAGCATCGCCTCCAGCTCTCGAATGCTGGCCGCACCGTATTGCTCACGCATCTGCTCGATCGTCGGTATGGAGTAGTCTGCCACACATGGTTGCACCTTGTCCACACCGTCCGGGAAATTCTTTTGCTCGCATTCCGGCCGCTGGGTGACATCGTTCATGGGTATGGGCCGGCCAGGATTAACGGCATGGTATTTAATCCCCGATTTACTGCGCGGCAGATGGCGCAGCTGCATCGTCCACGCATGTCGACCAAATGGACCGCGTATGAGTACTACAAAAAATTTGGGGAAAACCTATTAGCAAAACTTATTAAAACTACATTTAACTACTTTTTTATGCCCTTGCAGAGGGTATTATAACTGCAGTCAGAAGTTTGCAACGCAGTGAAGGAGACTTCTCCGACCCTATAAAATATATATATATTCTTGATCAGAGTCGATCTAGCCATGTCCGTCTGTCCGTCCGTCTGTCTGTCCGTTTCTACGCAAACTAGTCTCTCAGTTTTAAAGCTATCAGCATGAAACTTTCCCAAAATATGTCTTCCTAATGCAGGCAGTATATAAGTCGGACGACTATAGCATATAGCTACCATAGGAACAATCGGGAAAAAAAATGAAAAATAAATCAAACTTTTTTTTTTCGTTCTTCGACATATAGAACTAGTCAAATATTTCAGAATTACGGTTTAAATTTCATCAAAATCGGACGACTATAACGTATAGTTCCCATGGGAACTTTAAAAATGTAACTTTTTTATTTTCTAATTTTTTTTAGAAATTCTTTTTGACTAATTAATAATTGGACAGTTCAGGATTACGCTTTTAATTCTATTAAAATCGGATAACGATATCATATAGCTGCCATATGAACTAGCGAATAATTGAGCTGCAAATCATCATAGCTTCAATGTTTTTAAACATAAAAGCAAGTAAATGATAATTTTAATATTGTCAAGAATATTTTTAATATTTGCAATAGCTGCAAGGGTATATGAACTTCAGCATGCCGAAGTTTTGTCATCGCTTAACCAAATAAAACTGTCATAAGTCAATTTCCAGCACCTCCTGGTAGAGGTTTTTGTGTCACTTACAAGTCACCGTGGGCTGGGGATCCTGGTCATTGCCCAGCGGCTCCTCGAGCAGCGCCAATATGGTGGAGTTCTCGGTGACAAAGTACTTGAACTTGGCAATGGCTTGCTCGCTGCTGGCCGCCGCCGCCGGCACCATTGAATTGCAATGCTTCATGAGGGCCAACTCATCGAGCAGCGAGGATATGGATTCCGGGCCACATTCGCTGGGAAAGTAACCCACTTGCTCCAGAATAATGGTCAACAGATTCTCGGCAGCATCACGCACCCTCATCGATGCCGGCTTCAGTTCCTTTTCGTCCTTAAACTTGGGTATATCGGTGCCCTTGGTCTGACTCTTGGTGCCCGAAATGCCCAGTTCCACCACCTCGAGCACCGTTTGCAGGCAATCCTTGTCCTGCAGCAGATACGGATGTTGCATCAGCCAGGCGGCGGTGCACTGGAACGCCGCCACAATGGTGCTATGCAGATCCTTGCTGTGCGCCGGCGGCGGACGGGAGCACTGGTAGCAGATATAGTCACAGATCCACTTCACGGCCCGCTTGCACTCTAGAGCGTCTGAGGAGATTATCGTTAGATTCTGACTAGCTTCGTATATTTTCACTAATGTGTCTACGTGGATGATTGGTTGTGGTTGTGGTTTTGGTTGTAATTGTGGTTTTGGTTGCGATTGTGGTGGGTTATATACATTCGTTATCGGTTGGGAGATGCAAAATTAAATATACATATATATATAATATATATAGAAACAAATTTGCAATCGTCGTGAGTAGATGGACGATGGATGATTTTGGGTCAGATTATTATTTTAGTGGGTTATTTTTTTGTTTTTTTTTCGGGATGTGGTGCAGTGATGGTGGTGCGGATTTCGATGGCGGTTAGGAAAAGAAACGCATTAAAAAAAAAAAAGAAAGAAAGAAAGACAGAAGAAAGTGGCGTTAGTTAGGTTAGTTGGCTTTGTCAATCAATTACCATTTGTAAATTTCCTGGCTGCACGGCAAAAGCAAACAGTTACGGAGGGTTAAGGGTTCGTGGGGGTTAAGGTGGGGAGTGGGGTGTTTGGCACACCAAAGGGTTAACATTTTTAAGAACACGCACACGTTTACAGTTCGAAAATAAACAAACAGAGGTGGACAGAAAACAAACAACATTAAAATTAGGAAAGGAAGTATAGCCTCGGTCGCACCGAAACCTTAAATGCCCTTGCAAAGGTTTATGGAAACAGACGTCTTCCGAAAATTTAACCCTAACAAATCATATCCCTTAGACTAGAAAAATTACTTGAGAACTGTGTGTTAATAGCAAATAAATGCGTTAAGTTTCTAGTAATTTAATAAATCGGGGTGATCCTATAGATTCATAAAACCCTTTAACTTTGTGTGTTAATGGCATTCTTCGATTAAATAAATGGATAAAGTCTTAAAAAAATCGTTTGATAAACTCTGAATAAAGCCATTGCAGGAGCATATATAGTATACACTAAAATTATATGCCAATTCCAGATGAGCACACTCTACCTGTTTCCCGGATATGCAACCTGGCCAAACCAGACAGCAGCTCCAAGGCGGCCAGCGAAACATTCAGATCCGTCTTCCACGACGAGATCAGACGATGACAAACCAAATACGTGGCGCGCACAAATAGGGCATGGGCATTATCTGCAAATATATACACAATTGTTTATGTGTAGTGAAGTTCAAAAATTATAAAAACATGATTAAAGATAAATACAAAATTAAATTGGTTGTGTCAATCCAAAGATAACAGCTTAAAGTAAAATAAAAAAAAAATAAAATGATTACTTTACTTCGTATAAAAATTATATGGTAAACCAAGTAAAATTACAAAAATGTATTTAAAAAAACTCTTTTAATACTTAACATTAAAGAAACTCTCTTACAAAAACAAAAAAACAAATTAAGTAAATAGAGTTTTGTCAGAAAAAATTTAAAACATAAAAATTAACTAAGGATAAAATGGATAACGTCTTTTAAAGCTCTTTAAACACCTTAATGTTAGGTATTAGGTCTTGAAAAAATTAAAAACAAACAAATTTAATAAAATAGGATCTAGTCAAATAAATATATAATGTAAAAATGAATGAAGGACCAAGTTACCTTACTAAAATGTCGGTAAATAAGCTCTTCAAATACGTAACATAACAGAAACTCTTTTAAAAAACCCAAAAAAAAAAAAAGTGAGAAAAAGAGTTTACCATAGGTGGTTACGCCCTCCAGCTCCTGGCCGAACTCGAATGACATATCATCCGAAATGGTCAGGCTGGGATAATCGTGGGCGGAGGCGGTGTCGCGAATGGAGCCCGATCCCGCTCCCATGGTGGCCGTCGTCTGGCCACCCAAACTGGCCGTGCCAGCGCTGACCAGCGAAGCGGAACGCTCCGAGCACGCTGATCATCATCAGATCATCAGATCAGCATTAGCATCAGCATCAGCACACACAAGCACACACACACAAAAAAGGCCCAAAACGGAAATGCGAATAAAAAACAAGAGCAATTAAATAATACAACAAATTCCAAACAAATCAAAATGGAATTGAATGAGCATGTCAAAGGGGGAAAGATGCTCTTTGGAGCCGCCAAAAACTTACCGGAGCTCAGCAAATTGGCCTCGTGGTGCTGGACGCCACTGGAGTTGTGCGAGAGACTGGCATTGCCGCCGCCCAGTTCCGTCTCCTCGAAGGTGACGGCATCCTGGACGCAGAGCAACAGGCCGCCCAGCAGCATGTGCGTGTTCTGGGCATCCGTTTCCACCTGCAGCGCGTTCATCAGGATGTTCATCAGCCGCGACTTCAGCTGTATGAAGGTGTACATTCTGTAGGATATAAATGGAGTATGTTTCTGATTAATAAAATGGTAATGCTGGGCTATAAACGGTGCAGCAGGCACGATAAACTATCGAAACCAGAGCTGCCGCTGCATCGTTTACAACTGCACACGATTGAGATTACAGTGAGTTATTTTCTTTTTTTAAGGATTAAAGGCAAATAAGTACATGGAGTATGTTTCTGATTAATAAACAAGTAATGCTGGCTATACACGGTGCAGCAGACTCGATAAATATCAAAACCAGAGCTGCCGCTGCATCGTGAGTTATTTTTTTTTTTAAAGGATAAAAGGCAAATTAGTGCACTCCATGTGTCTGATAAAAAAAATATCTAAACCAGAGCTGCCGCTGCATCGTTTACGATTGAGATTACAGTGAGTTTTTTTTTGTCATCGCTAATCCAAATGAGATTAATTTTTGTCTCTTTCTCAATTTTAGCCCGCTTACTTCTCGCTCGTTTCGCTGGTCAGATCCCGTATGGGCAACGTCTGGTAGTGCAGGGGCAGCACCATGATGGACAGCAGGATGTTGATGGCCGAGCGACGTAACTCGGTGCGATTGAAGACCATGGACTGGGTCTTCAGCTTAAGGTCCTTGTCGGGCAGCACAATCTCCAGGGCGGCAATGAAGCCCGGCAGCAGCACATTGATGCCATCCAGATCCAAGCGAAAGAGGTCGCTCGAGTGGAGCAGTATGCTGGCCAGCGTTTCGTCGCACTCCCGCGATTCCGTGATCTTCAGGCACTGCTGCAGCGCCATGTAGAAGCGTGCCAGATAGACGGGTAGGATCTCCTCGCCCGTCTTCTTGGCGCAGAAGATCTTGCAGAGTGTGCCAATAGCCTCGGCCCGTCCAGACTCGTACTTGTCAATGGTCAGTGTCGGCGGCAGCGACTGCGGATCGTTCAGCGAATTGGGCTGCGACAGCGAAATGGATCCCTTGCGGTGCTCCATGATCATCGACGACGGCCGCTTACTGGCCTCGCATGCCTGCTCTATTTTTGGGACAGATGGAAAAACAAAAAGAAAGTTAACATTGAGTTTTTTTTGTATCCCTAATCCAAATGATATTGAAATTTAAATGGTTTAAAAATCTACATAATCGAAATTATTATCTACACATTTCTAAAATACATAACAGAAACTTTTTTACACAGTTTAAAACATATTAATTATAAAGACCTAACATATCTCAGTTAAAATTCTGGAAAAATATATATACCTATGTTAAATGGTTACTTTTTTAAATTTTTGTCATAAAGAAAAATAAAAAACTGATTGATTAAACAAATATTTTAAAAAGTAACTCAAACTTTTAGAGTCTAAAATAAAACTAAGCTTTGACACCAAGTGAAAATATGTTTTCAAAATTTTGAAAGCGCTTAATATACTATACTATATATTGTTGTAAGAAATATTTAAAAATAAAAAATATAATTATTGTAAACCTGTATGAAAAAATTAAACCAAGCTTGGAAACTATGTTTCAAATATGTAGCTTTAAATATTAATAACTATCTATTTAAAAAATATTTTAAAAAATTAGAAAAAAAAATAAATATATTTATTTTGAAGCCGGATACCGGAACTTACTCTTGCGGTTCTGGCGCCAAGTGTCGCCGCCGATGTGCGCCGCCTCGAAGAGCCACTCGTGGAATACGTGGAGAATGCTGTTGCACTTGGGCCTGGCCACGGCCAACTCAACGCCCGCTCCCATCGAAGTCAGCGGCAGAGCTGCGATCGCCGGTAAATGTATGGGTTTAGGGTGTAGGAGTGGGAGTGGAAGTGGGAAAGAGAGAGAGAGAGAGAGAGCAAATGGTGTCAGACAGAGAAGCAATGAGGGCAATGGGGGGCGGTTAGAACATCTGTTAGATTTAGATTGTTAGGCGTCGCGCGGTAGAAGCTCACAAACGGTTCACACAGCACACACACATAACAATAGATCCAATTAGTTAATATATAAACCATCCGAAAATGATTTTATCGTGTGATTTTGAACTTAGTCCCGCCATTCTGATCTTGGCTCTTATGCTTTTTAATTAATTCTTAGTAGAGCTCACTTCAAATTAGACTTCTTTGGCATTTAACATTATGAAAATACTAAGTTTAAGTTTTAAAATTAAAGAAAATATATTTTTAAAATATTCTTTTGGAATTTATATTTAAAACATTATTTTTCTCGAATTACAAGCTTTGTAATTACAGAATATATTTAAAAAAGACTTTTTTCAAGCTAAACGTTTTTAAATTACAAATAATTTATTAAAAAAAATACTTTTTGAAAATTATAAGTTTTTGAACTATAGAAAACATATATTAATTATTTACAAAATATACTTTTAGTTGGAAATAAAATAATCATATTTAAAGTATGCATTTTTTTTAAACTTTTTAGTTAACTTTTCAAAGTCTAAACACGTTTTTTTTAATAATCAAATTTTTTTACAGCCCTTTAAAACCTTACTAATAATATCGTTTTGATAAAACAGTATTCAATAAATTAAAATTAGTTGCAAACCAGTTTATAGATACTTTCCACAGAAATTTGTGGTAAACAGTAATAGATATTATTCAAATGGGTACATATGAGCCAAGATCAGATGCCTGCTCTCCCCAGTGCACTTACAGTTGATGCTGCTGCTCGCCGACGGCGGACCCGACGTGGACGTGGGAGTGGTGGGCGCCGGGGCAGGAGCGGATCCGCTGCCCGTGCCCGCTCCCGTGCTGCCGGGGATTCCCGGGCCGGCTGGGATTCCTGCTCCACCGCCGCCGCCGCCGCCACCGGAGCCACCAATGGCGGTCGTCGAGGAGAAGGTGGAGGAGGAGGAGGAGGAGGAGACACCACCGGTGGTGCCGCCACTGGCAGCGGCGGTGCTGGAAGTGTTGGTCGTAGTACTGCTGCTGCTGCTGCTGCTGATGATCGCGTTGCGTGCACCGCCGCCGGTGAGGCCAATAAGCGAGGTCTTGCTCAAGCCTGCGATGGGTAAGTGGAGTGGTGTGGAGTGGAGTGGAGTGGAGTGGAGTGGAGCACAGCAGAGCAAGTGTGAGAAATTGTTAGAGAAATTAGATACAGATATGCGAAGCGCGAGTTACAGATACAGATACAGATATAGCTACAGCTACAAATACAGAGATACAGTGATACAAAGGGAACATGCTATATAATTGTGGGCGTTTGGAGATAAATTACAATGCATAATCCGACGCTGGAAAGTGGCAACAGTTACTCGGCCCCGACTCCGACTCATCCGCGCCGGGCAATTACACCGAGATTATTCCACTCATGCTACGGAACAAATTATACAACAAAAAAAATTAGAATGCCAAAGAAATAAAATAAAAAACTAAACAAAACAAAACAAAAGAAAAGCCATAATGCAAAACTCGTGAGTGCCAACTCGAACTTGTCTGGGAGAAATGTGGCAATGGATCAAGCCAAACAACATCTAGGCAAGCAGAAACAAACCAAGTCAGTTCAATTCAGTAGCACGCCATGGCAGAAAAAAAAAAAAATAACTAAAGGTTGCAAAGTTTGGCTTCGGTGCACCGAAGTTCAGATGCCCTGGCAGATGGGTTTTCTATGGGTAAGTCTGCTCAATAACTCATAGAACTGGAAAAGAAACCAATATTTTATTTTATACCCCAAAAAAGGGTATATTTTTACACTCTTAAGTTTTAAATGATGATTGTCTGAACCCTAATGTTCACATCTATTCCATAAAAAGTATAGGCAAGATATTTTTTGTACTCTTTTCGATATATTTCCTAACTTATCTGTAAGTTTTAAGTAAATACTTACAAACAATTCAAGATATAAAATAAGGATTTTGCTTGAAATTTTTTTAAGTTAAGTTTTCACAAGATTAATCCCTAATATTCACATTTACTCCACAAAAAGTATAGGAAAATTCATTTCTGGGTACTGTTTTTGGACATAACTGTTTGTTTCAAGTAAATACTTTTACCTTAATATCTCAATAAAACCGTAGCCTAAAAAATCTACGAAAAGTGTCCTCTTAGTGACAATTTTAAAGACTTTTAAATTTTTTTTTATACTGATTTTCTTAAAACTTCAAATTTTAACTAAGTTCTCCAGATTTTGTATATCCAAGAAGAATTATTATACCAGAATAGGAAATTCAAGGCTTTACTGGTTGTACGGATTTTCTTTAAGCAATCTATTAACACTAAACTAACTAATATATTCAACTATCCGTATTAATAGAGAATATACAAGAAAATAAATTCTCTCTCAAATGCTACTTTTGAAAACCTTAAAAAATCTCTGCCAGGTTAAAAGTTAAAAATTGTTTTTGGGGTGACAGCAACAAAAAGTACAACATTCGGTGGTTTCCAAATAGAGATACTACGTGGAGAGTCGCACCCTTCTGCTGTGTGATGGTCGGCGCCACGCTGAAGCTTTTCGCCAGGCGTCGTTGCAGTGGCGGAGTGGGCGTGGCAGAGGCAGCCGGACCAATTCCAGATGATTCCGTGGTGTTGCCAAAGGAGATGCTGCCAACGACTCCGGCGGAATGACTGCCACCGGCACTGGTACTGCCCACGGCGGAGCCACCAGTCGTCGACATTTGATTGCTGGTGGGCGAGGCACTGATCTGAAGCTGCTGCTGCTGTTGCTGCTGATTGTGGTTGTGGTGGTGGTGGTGATGGTGGTGACCACCGCCATGGTGACCCATGATGGCATTCAGAGCAGAACTGGCCGAATTGCTCATGAAATTGTCGCGCAGAAAGCTACCGGCGCCATGTAAATGCAAATGCGGATAGTGGAGGTGATGGTGATGGTGTTGGTTCGCCTGGTGCTGATTGGCTATATTCGTGGCGCTGCTCGAGTGGATGAACTGCTGCAGGGTCGTGGAGGTGGCCTCGTTGAGCGAGTGCCGGATCTCCAGCAGATTGGTAACTACGCCATCCGATTGCTGCGGCGGCGGCTGATAAACGCCTAGTTTTGCATCGGTTTTCAATCGGTTTTCAATCGGTTTTCAGTTACGCATTTGAGGATTTTAGCATTTGAGCATTTTAGGATTTTAGCAATTACGGTTTAGATACAATATTTTCAGGGTTAGCAAAGTCAGAGATAAACAAACGAACAAAGAGAAAAGAGAAAAGTACTGAGCTCTAGCCTACCACAAAACTAATGCTAAACGTGTAAGAGCGTCCAAGTCGGATATTCCGACTATAACAAACCCGGCACTCAAAATGTTTTAAGTTCGAAGTAGTTAAAACTTTCTAGAGACTAGGGAAATGTAAGTATAGTAATGACTATTTCAACAACAACAAAAAAAAATCTTAAAAATCTAACAGAAAGAAATCTAACACAAGGAGTACCGGGTTTTGTAGGGATTAACCCAATTATTTCTACCACTAATCCTACCTAGAAAGGCGTCCACTTGACTTGAGATGCCCTTCATCGCATTGAGGAAGATCTGCGGCAGTTGCTGCAGACACGGATGCTGATGCGTCTCGGCGCCCTTTTCGTGGGTCAGGGCCCACTGTACGAAGTGCGATGACTTGCTGATGAGATGTGGCGAACAAAGGGCCGTGGGATTGCCAATCATCCGGAGGAAGCGGTACCACGTCTGGGCCACGCAATCATTGGACATGCCAATGGGTATCAGCTGGTTATCCTCGTCAGCTGCAAAGGATCAAGAAGATAAGTTATTATAAACATTTGTTAACATCTCTTTTTTATCAGATATTTTAAAGTCTTTTATGTTTGAAGAAATGTCAAAAGAACTTTGTAAATTTCTTAAATCAGATTATAAGTTGTACCTTTAAAGTAGGAATACTTTGGAAAACCTGTATTTTTGTTGGGTATTTTGAATTGTTTAAAAATCTCATAGGGTGCCAGTTTAAACTTGTTAACAAATTTGGTCGATTATATATCTCAAGCTCTGTTGAGCTCTGTTCAAAGCAAAGTCTTTTCAAACCCACCATTTTTGAGCTGGGGAAAAGCGGGACCATAACTGAACTCCAGCAGGCGAGCGGTTAGGGCCAGGTTCACACGATTCCATTGATCCACAAGGGCCACACGATGCCGCCACATGGCGCACGATTCCTGCAGAGTCTTCCACATTGAGGGCGAGGGAAAGCTTCGCACGCAGGCCAACAGCCAGACCTCGAAGAGCACGGACAGCACGCGTTCGCACAGCTGATCGCCCACGTCATCCTTGACGGTGGGCGGGGCCAGCAGAATCTCATTGATGGCCAGCAGGAAGAGGAGCAGGGTGTCCCAAGTCTGGCGGTCCATCAGCTGCGATATTTGGGCAGTTTGTTGAAGGGTTCGCAACACCCTATGGCAGAGCACTGCCTGCCGCTTAATGGTGTCGGCACCTGGAAGTCATCAAGGATTTACTATTTGTCTTGGATTTTAAATATTTCAATGGTAAGTTCACTTTTAGGACAAATGTTGCCTAAGAATCCTACAGAATTTGTAACCATTTCAAGTGATGTATGATATACATATTCTCTTTAAGCTTAGGCATTATTTTCCTTGAGTGTAGTACAATTTCGTAAACAATTCGAGCAACCTACCAAGCGTGGTTTGGTATAGAAATGGCAAGACTTGAAATTTAGAGGGGTATTAATACGGGGTCAAGGGTTAAGCTAAGAGGCCATAAGGTGGTCCAGTGGTGCCAACTTACTTTCACCCTGACGCGGCACAAACAGATTGTGGAAGTGGTTGATGATCTGGCGGGCATACAGGTTGGCATCCTCACAGATCGGCTTCGGGACACTGATCCTGGGCTGCGGATGCAGTGCCGTCAGCCACTCACAGTACACATTCACGCAGTCCTTGATTGTCTCGTGCTCCTGCAGCGGCAACGAAAGACCAAAGCAGATCACGTCCATGCACCATTTTACCTAGAATAAAATAAGTGCTATTAAGTGTATTAAAGTGTCCCAAAAACCTTGAAGTTAAATTGACTATTGAAACCGATTTAATAATTATATTATCGTAATATAATAAAATAATTATAAAAAGATTTTCAAAAGCTTTTGTTCCAATTTCATTTTTGATTTTAAAGTGCAGTTTCGAAAAATTCCATCGAATTCTACACTTTTTCTTAACGAAATCTTTTATTAAAAGTTAAATTTATGTTGTATTTCGCAGAAACCACCTAAGTTGTCTATAAATAGACTATTTTAGACTAAACAAACAAACAATGATTTTATATTGCTTTCTTATTCAGGGAATATTAATTGCCCTTGCATAAGTAATTATATACACAATTTTATGCAGTTAATGGATGCTTTTGTGCGCATTTACAGTCAATAAAACATTATTTTTTAATCAATTACATATTTAATAGTGCATTCGCTAAACAAACTTTGAAGTGTGCTGTTTATCCAAACAAATTTAATTTATTGTTTGTCCATGAAATATACAGCTTTCTATACGGTTTTACTTCGAAAATTATATATTGATTAAAATATTCTTTCAATCTGCGTTTGATATACAATATGATGTGACCATCACTTGATGAAAATTAGTATGTGCTTTATTATTTATCAGATCTATAGAAGCCTTTCCCATAATCCTATCTTCTATAAATCACATCTGTGTTCTGTGGCGCTTGGATATAAGTTAATACCCTAACAATATGTTTTATAGGATCGTTTCCATGGTATCCAGGATTCTAAAAGGGTTATCTGTATCCTAAGTTGCCAACAATGATCCTCTTCCATTTCCTCTTTCTTTCTTTTTTTTTGGGCACTGCATATAAATATGTTATGATCTTAGGATTGGAAATTCATTAATAACCCTAAGTTTATGTTTTCAGTTATCTTATTTATAGTTTTCAGAGAAAATAGATGTAAGATATTGGATACTACTATTGGATACTAACGCTTTTATAGGTTTTTATCTATTTCCTCCTCTGCTTATAAAATATATTATGATCTTAGGATGTACCATTGGAAGTTAATGAATAACCGTAAGTACATATATCTTTAAACTAAAGAATACAGGACATTCAGGATTCTATTAGTACAATCGGCATCCATAGATGGCTCCTCCTAGCCACCTGTACCCACCTCTTCGTCCTTGACCAGGTGACTGGGTTCCGCGTTCTGGGTGATGCCCAGATTGGTGCCCAGCTGCTTGACCACCGAGACGACCACCTCGCGTCCTGCGGAGGCGGGAAATTTGTTCAGGACACTGAAGCATTGGGCGCCGCAGCTGTTGGCCGTAATTTGGGCGGACAGCGAGGCCCATTCGGAGTACATGTTGATCGTACGACTCCTCCTCGGCGCTTCCTCTTTAGCCCGGCTATCCGTTTGTTGTGCTCCTCTTTGGGCGCGTTCTTTATCGGCACGATTCTCTTTGATCGAATTTCACTTTGTTGACGTCAACATGAAGATTTCTGTTGCAGGTGCGCCATGTTGTTGTTGTGGCCTCGTTGATTGGTCGCTGGCATATTGCAAAATGGTATCGCCAAATGTTTAGGTTGCACTTCCCGCCCACTTTCTTCTTTTGTTTACAGCCACTATTCAATTACACCGCCATTAGGCCTGTATAACTGGAGTTCTTTTTAAACAATTTGTTTAATACACAAAAAAAAAAAGAAACTCACAGCAGCGAAAAGCGTGCGAGAGAGATGGAGCGATGTAAACAGCTGGTGGGCTTGGTTTCAGTGTTGGTAAACGTGCGGGCCAAAACAGTGCTGCAAACGATTGCGTAAATTAGAATTTTATTTTAAAATGGCGCAATTGTGTTAAGCTTAAACTTAAGCCAAAACTGTTTAGGTTTGCGTCAAGAAGAAATTTACATAAATGTTTACCTTTAAAAAAAAGGCACTTGCCAAAATATAAATCAAGTTCTCACGTAATATCAAAAAGTTGTAAAATTAAAAATTAAGAAAATTCAAAAATCAATTGCGCTTAATCATGTTAAATAATAAATTAAAACAAAGCAAAAATAATTATATTATTAGGGTTTGTTTCAATGAGAAGGTTTCCTAAAGTAATAAAAAAAAAACACATTTTCAACTACAGCCCACTAAGGAGATTTTAAAATTTGATGTTAATCCTATTAAAACTATATTCAAACTGGCGTATGCGCCTTTACTTGCAATATTTTTTGAAAACTTACCACCGTTTCGCAACAAGTAAATCTTAAAATAAAAAAAATCAAATAAGTCATTTTAAAATAGTATATATGTATACATAATAATACCTTTTCACAAGGCGAGAGGTTGGCTAATCACAACTTAATTTTTAAAAACGATTGCGGCTTTGGAAATTGTACCTTGTTAATCATAAAAAAGTAAGGTAACCTATTGGAAACCTAATGAAACCCGAAAGCAATTGTAAATACCAAAAAATATGGAGCATCTGAAAAGTAGGCAATACTTTTTGCAATCACTTTTTTAAATGGCAAGTAATCTTACTTTCTGCAATCTTAAAATTTCTCCAGGACCCCAGTGCATCCAGAAAATAGAACGACAAGGGTTTTTTCGATTTTGTATAGTATTTTTAATTGTTTTGCCCGTCATCAAAGTCCCCAATCAATTAATTAATCAATCAATTAATCGCTGCCAGCTGCCAGCTTCCGCTTCCGCTTCCAATTTGGAAATGGTTTCCGTGTTTGTGATCGCTTTTCATCCATTTCTCCGCTTAGTTGTACCACATACCACATATGTGTCGTTATCGTTAGTCGTTAAGTGTATATGTAGTATAAAGTTGATTGATACTCATGCTAAATCGAATCGACTTGGTTTTGCTTCGTTCAAAAAATGTTATAGGGTATGCAATACAATTACGTGATCGTTAGTTGACTTTAACATTTAGTTGACTGACATCAAACACACAAATATAGTTTATATTCCTTTTCTTTTCATTTTTTGTTTGCTTGTTTTAATATGTATGTACTCGTACTTATATAAGGTTGATGCATTATGCGATATCTGTATTATATTTAGATAGCACTACTGTTTTACACACACACGCACAAGGTTTACAAACGTTAGTTATTAGTTTAGTTTAGTTTTTTGTTGTAAAGAAAATTTCGATTAGTTTCCTTCTTAGACTTAGATTGCTAAAACGTTGGTATTGGCCTATTGTATGATTTCTTTATAAATTGTTTTGTTTTTTTTTTTTTTCATTTTTTTCTTTCGGTTTTTTAATTGTTTTTTTTTCCAATTGCAAACCTCATTTGTTTTCAAAGTGAGATCTTTTTTTGTGGATGTCCGAAGTGCTGGACGTGCTAAAGTTTTCTTAATTTCTTTGCTTTCCATTTTTCCATTTTCGTATTTCCGATTTCCAGGATTTCATGCTCTTCTTGTTGTTGTTCTTGCTAGGCTATATCACAAAATGTGTTTTTTCTTTATAATATTTTTATTTTTTTTTGCAACGCTCAATGGCAAACCAAGAACTTTAGGTTTAATGGACTAAGAACAAGGAATTATAACCTTAAGAAATCAAAGCAAACGGGGTTATTTTTGATTTACATGTTATATAGCTCTTATGTTTCTTCATTTTTTTTTTATTTGGAAGTTTAACTTACTGTTTTATTCCAATTGAAAATTGCCAATCGTTTAATGTTTCTATCGAATTGATGCAAAGATTTGCCATCTATACTATTGCAATAATAAAGTACTTGATTGTTTTGAAAAAATCCACATTCTCCGAAAACGAAACACAGATTGAATTGCTCTACTAAATATGAAGAAAAATGCTTTGGAACTACTCAAAAAATAGGTAAAGAACGTATTTGATTGATGTATTCAATAAATTTTTAAATGAAATCTACGATTTTCATTTATCGAATTGTTAAATATAGAAGAAAATCGTAGGAATTTGGCGAATTGAACACGATAATACGCCTGGCTAATAACGTCACTATATGTTTTATATGATGCCTGATTCGCTTTACATTTTCCTTTTATTTTTACTTTAATATTCGCTTTCCATTTAAATTTCCCTTTGTCACTAGTAAAAAACCCTCTAGTTGATTGTAATTGTTATAAATTAGTTTTGAATTGGAACTGCAAAAAGGACAGTTGGCATTGACGCAGTCCCACAAATCGCTTCTATTGGACACTTGCAAAAAGGATGTTTTGCTGGCTTACTTTCAAACCGATATCGAGTTTTGTTGTGCATTTTCCGATTGGTTGGTCCAGTGTTTGTGTGTTTCATACATTTTTGTAGTTCTTGCACCAGCGACATCGGCTATATACATCCTATATATATATATAGCTTAAAAACGTTTGCCAATCTGATACCATGATACCAAAGAGGAGTTGCGCCTAGATAAGACTGCTCTGCTACCTCGTTCCAAAACATATAGCTAAAATATAGCTAAAATTTTCAATGAGCAGCGAATGGTATTCGCTGCGGTTAAAAAGTCTATTTAAAATTCCACTGCAACTCCGATTTTGGTGTGTTGCCAGATGTTTTTTGCCGCCAATTTTGTGTTCAACATCAAATATATTTCTATATTATTAAATATATGTATATATTTATATTCCGATTATGTGGTATGCATACGTATGTACATTTCTTTAGCATAATAACTGTTTTTCTCTCTTTCTTTTCCATTCGTTTTTTCCATTGTGTTTTGTTTTAAATTAGTTAAACTTACAAAAAAAAAAAGAAGGTATTTATAAAAATAGAAATAATAAGTATATTAAAAAAAAAAACGTCAAAGTGTGAGGAAAAGGAGGGTAAAAAGTAGATGGTAAATTAGGCAACATTCATAGAAATAAATTAATTAATTAGTACAAACTAAACGTAACTTATCAATTAAATCGCTCGCCTACATAACAGAATCTATAGTTATCGTATAATATATAGGTTTTATGTATACTCGTATTAAAAAAAAGGATTTTAAATCTAATGCCAGCAAGTGTTTATTCCATTATTTGTGATTTGCCGCTTGCTTCTGCTACAAATAGGTTGATTTTAATTTATCTGTTTTGTAATCAAGAAATATTTCAATCTTCTCGCTTATTTTTTTTTTCGTTTCGGTAATCCCTTCTCACTTGGCTACGTATGCATTTTTGTTTTGGACAAGTTATTTTTCAACGCCCGCCCACAAGTATGCTACAAAAATGTTTTCCAACGCTCTCGTTTTTACATTAGTTTTTCTCATTTGCGAGCGTTTTGGTGTTTTTCTTTTCATTTTTTCTTTTTACTTATTTTTGCTTACGCCTACAAAATTGTGGTTTTGCTTTTACTTTTGCTGTTGTTGCTGTTGTTGTTGCTGGTGTTGTTGCTGGTGTTGTTGCTGGTGTTGTTGCTGGTGTTGTTGCTGTTGTTGTTTCTGTTGTTGTTGCTGTTGTTGTTGCTGTTGTTGTTGTTTGGTCGGTCGTCATGTACAAAGACAGAGCATTATATTCATGTCTGCTACTACTGCTGAGATGCCGCCGCCGCCGTCGTGGCCAAAAAAGTGTCAGTTGCTCCTTTAAATCCCCCAAATCTTAAATCACCAGTGACCCAACAGAGAGTGTGTCGAGAGAGTTGGACGCGAGATATTATCCAGGGGGGAAGTAGGGTGTTCACATCTCACATCTCACATCTCAAAAGTGCTCCAAAGCCCTGCGCAGCTTCTTACAGTAAAATGGACATTAAGACTCGCGCTCCTTCTTCACCTTCACCTCCTCGCCCAGGATGGTGGTGATCTCGCCCTGCATGAAGGCCCACGGTATCACCGAGTTGGCCAGCGGACAGCGATCGCCGCTGGGACAGTACACCTCGTTGCCGAGACCCTGTCGGTGAAAAGAAAAGGTTAGTTATCAATAAAAGATTCACCATGGAATTGAACAACTTCAATACAACACATTTTGCCAGCTTGTCAAAGAATATTTTAAAGTATTAAAAAACAAAGATTATTTAACAGTACTATAATAATTTTTAAAGTTTCAATGATCGCTTGGAATTAAATGTTTAAACAAATTATTTCAAATATTATTTATAAGTTCGTTAGTTTAACGAATAATTTCTAATGATATTTAAGGGTTTCTTTGAAGTTAAAACTAGCTAAAAATCAACTCATTTTCAGGTAAATAGTATATAATTTCTACTGAACAAACACAAACTCTTGCAAAAGTCTCTCATTTATACAAAAAAAATGTGCAATTTCATGATGGTAAATGTGTTGTGGTAGAAATAGCTTCAATAGTTCATGTGCACTCACATTCTGCCGTTTGATGCTCTCGCGGCTGCAGGGGAAGCAGAACTTGTGGTGGTTCACCGATGGGCATTGCACGAAGTGCGTGTCCTCCAATCGCTCCTGGCACAGGGTGCACTTGAGTGTGGCATTCTGGGCGGCCGCCGCCGCCGCTGCCGCTGCTGAATTTGATGCGGCACTGCTGCCCGGAGCTCCGCTGAGACCGCCGCCGCCCCCGCCCGTGGATCCGCCACCGCCGCTGGCCAAAGGTGTACCGCCGCCGCCCTGACTGCCGCTACTGCCGGGACCGGGATTCACGGCTCCGACGCTGCCATTGCTGCCGGATGGACCGCTACCGCCGGCCGGACTTCCATCGCCGCCCACCGAATTTGGCGCCATCGAGGCGGGACCTATGGCACCATTGCCTCCGCTTCCGGAGCCGGCATTGCCGCCCGGTCCGCCGCTGGTGCAGCTCAGCTGTCCGCCGTTGCCGCTCGGCCCGCCAAG